GCTTGCCATCATTTTTGCCCTATCTTGTCATCTTTACATGTACAGGTTTTGGTTTCTTTATACTTGCTTCTCCTCCCTGCTCTTCACACCTGTAATCCACTCCCCATCCTCATTTTCAGGGTGGCCAGGCTTCCAAAACACATCCTTCACATAGTGCCTTCAGATAAACCAGTTGGGTTTTTTCATTTGGAGAATAGTGGGGCTGGAAGGAAGGTAGATGTTTAGAGGTAGATCTTTCTTTAGAGAAAGATACCTAATTTTGATCAATAGCTATCAGTAATCACATCTTTGGAGTCCATTCTACTAACACCTCTTTTGTATATCTTATCTGTTGAGTCTTTTGTTGTATTGTGAAATTATTGGGGAGTGGCTGTTGTCTTTTCTAGCTTGGGAAACCTCTAGTGCATTGTTGTGATTTGTGAAAGAAACACAGATTTGGAATAATTGAGTCTGTCATTATAGGAGATACCTTAGAAGGTGACAAGGAAAAGTCTTCTGATACCAGGGTGGAGATGGACTAAGTTCTGTGACAAGATATCCTGTCTCTTGACTTGCTTCTATGGGTCTTTAACATGTCTAGTGCTATTTTAGTAGGATCATCTTGTTATGACTGTTGCCAAGTGTTGATCATTCAAAATGACATATAAAGATCCTAAAATAGTTTATACAATGACATGTCTTCTTTCAGAATCAGCTGTGTTCAGAAAACATTCAGGAAAAAGGGGGAAACTGTGGAGGCTCTCAGAAGTAAGAACTCTTTAGCTTTTTAGCTGCTTACGAGATGCCGGGGAGCGATACCTGAATTAATGAGTGATCTTTTGTGTTTCAGTTTGGGCTTTTTGGTTCTCTTTGTGGGGCTGGGCCTTAAAGCATGAATGCAAGATGTGCTTGTATGTGTCCTCCCATGGTATTGAGGGTAATCTTGTTAAAAATGGTACCCCAAAAGGGGAGCCCTTCCATCACCAAAGGAAGCCCACTGATACTGTCCCATTGCTCCTCTGCCTGTGTCATTGTTGGTATGTTCTTCCCTGCCCTATCTCCTTGACCTCTTCATCTTAATTTGCCTATATGGCATTTAAACACAGCCACTCTGTAGTGGTGCAGGGACTGTCCCAGCCCCAGCAGTGCTGTGCCCCACCAAGGCATGGAGGTAAGGTGTTCCCTCAAGCAGAGCCTAAATGCATATCCCATATGTTAGTATTTGAATGTACCTTTGTGGTAGGAGCCAGCTCCAGCTACCATGAGCACATCACTAACATTTCCCTTTCCTCTTGTGCCTGCCTCGGGGACCAGATTTATCCTTCGACATCTATGAAGGTCAGATCACAGCTCTGCTTGGGCACAGTGGGACCGGGAAGACAACGCTGATGAACATCCTTTGTGGGCTGTGTCCACCAACAGATGGTGAGCTTCTCCAGTGTTAAGAGACCTTGAGCATCCTGCCTTAGAAAACCAAAGCTGTTGACCTTTGGTATTTCAGGATGCACTATGTTTTTCTTTAGATAACATCTGGAAGAGCCTTCTTTAGGTTTGTGACCATGCTAGCCTGCTCTCTGGCAGTAAAAACACATTGATTGCTCCTGGCTTTTCTTTTATAGGGTTTGTCTCTGTCTATGGGCACAAAGTCTCTGAAATCGATGAGATGCTCGAAGTGCGACAGATAGCAGGGGTGTGCCCTCAGTCTGACATCCACTTTGATATACTAACAGTAGAAGAGAACCTCTCCATATTTGCTGCAATTAAAGGAATCCCTCAGAATGATTTGATACAAGAGGTAATCAGCTGCACACAGATGTTGTCTGTATTTTCACCTGTATGACAAAATACCTTTACACTGGGCAGGGATTTCCTTAAGACAAGTTGCAGGGAAATATTGCCCGACAGTGCAATAGACAAAGAGGTACAGACAGATATTTTTACAAAGATAAACTGTCAGTTTTTTCTAGGAGACTAAAATGCTCACGAAATGTTTTAAATCACAGCATTTATGTTCTACCATAGATACCTTTTAAGTTCTTCAGGTCTGCTGGAGCTTAAGACCCTGCTCTGGACGTACAGGTTTGTTAGCAGGGTGTGCAGTTTGGATACACTGAATTAGGAACAGTTAATTTGAGTGTAATTATTAATAATATGGTTAAAAAACTTACAGCTTTTTTTAACAAGAAATGTGTTTTGTATGTATTTTAGGTGCAGAAAGTGCTGTTGGATTTGGATATGCAGCCTATCAGAGACAACCAAGCTAAGAAATTAAGTGGGGGGCAGAAGAGGCGGCTGTCAGTGGGGGTTGCTGTTCTTGGGAACCCAAAGGTGAGTGTGATGGTGAAGTTCCTCACTTGGTATGTTCTTCCCTGTTCTTCCCTAAGGGTGTGTGTCTTGTCAGAACCATGCTAATAAGATGCAGTACTATATATGTAATAATATTACAATGCTACTAATAAGTAACAGGCAGAGATTGTTACTTTAAGCATCTGTTGCTCCTTTTCTCTTTGCTTATGGTTTAAACAATTAAAATCACTTCAATAGCTCAACCTTTATACTTAAGGATGTTAAAGGCTTAAGTAATGGCAGTGGCTCTGGATTTGATCTCCTTGTGAAATAAATAGTATGACAAGTTTTATGTTGTTTCTGACAGGCAAGATGTAGCTCCCAGGAGCGAACCTGTCAGAGACTTTCCTTGCAAATCCATAGAGTCATGGAATCACAAACTGGTTTGAGTTGGAAGGGACCTTAAAGCTCATTCAGTTCCAATCCCCTGCCACGGGCAGGGACACCTTCCACTAGAGCAGGTTGCTCCAAGCCCCTGTGTCCAACCTGGCCTTGAACACTGCCAGGGATGGAGCAGCCACAGCTCCTCTGTTTAAAGCCATTCCCCTTTGTCCTGTCACTACATGCCCTTGTCAAAACTCCCTCTCTAGATTCCTTGCCTCCAGGTACTCAGAGCAGGGACAGAGCCAGAGCTCTTTTTTGTGTTACAGTTTTATTACTTCTAGCCTCTAAGAATGGGGAATGCTTTTAGATCTGTATTTTAAAATGATGGGTGTGACAGCTCGCTGTGCTTTTAAAAGCATGTGTATGAGTTTAACCGTCCCTTAATAGGAGGAGTGAATCCATAGCTACATACAGTTGTATTAGAAACAGAATAAAACAGACTGGCATTAACATACTCTTCTGACTTTCCCATTTGCCACAACAGGAGATGAGTTTATTCTAATCATAGTGAAGGGAGGTGCCCTGCTTACTCTAGGATGTTTCCTCTATGTTTTAGAGGACTAATTAGCAGGCTTCAAGCAAAAAGCCCTGTGTTTGTTACTTAGGCAGGATTTCCTGAGGTCAATACCTTGTATGTGAATGTGGTTTTAAAGATGCTCTTGGTTTTGCGCTCAGGTTTTGCTGCTGGATGAGCCAACCGCAGGGATGGATCCGTGTTCACGGCACATTGTCTGGAACCTCCTGAAAAACAGGAAAGCGGATCGTGTGACGGTTTTCAGCACCCACTTCATGGATGAAGCGGATATCCTCGCTGGTGAGTCCTGCTGCCATCCCCTGGGTACCAACCTGGGGCAGAGGCAGTCCATCAGTGACAGTCCTATCATAAAGCAGAAAGTGATGCTTCTCTAGCCATGGAATACACTTCTATGTGAAATACAGAGGGTTTGAAGCAAAATTCAGTCTTCTTATTCAAGGTCCTTGACTTTTATTTCTAGATCGTAAAGCTGTGATTTCTCAAGGGATGTTAAAATGCCTTGGATCCTCTCTCTTTCTCAAAAGCAAATGGGGAATTGGCTACCGCTTGAGGTATTCTTTTTGTGTGATACCTGTTATGTTGACATCACATATTGCTTTTTAAATTGCTTTTTGTTGAAATCTGTAATACAGCAACCCCTTTGTACTGAATGTTTGGTGCTCTCCTGGCTGACAGTTCTATGCTGGTGAAAGGGGAAAAGCTTTAAAACCCGATTCCCTCTGTTTTCTTAGCATGCACATTGATGCCTATTGCAACACAGAAGCTACAACCTCTCTGATACGACAGCACATCCCTGCAGCCAGCCTGCTCCAGGAGAACGATGAGCAGCTTGTGTACACGCTGCCGCTCAAGGACATGGACAAATTTGCAGGTACCAATGGTTCTGTTGTGCTGTAGGGTTGAATGGCTGCAGAAGAGATACCCATCAAGCGTGGCTGTAACCTCCAATTCTCATTAAGTTGTAACTTCTGCATTTATATGATTTTATATGTATTCATTATTTGGCTGATGCTCAGTCAGTGAGGTCTCAGGTGAGTGAGAACCTCATCGCCTTCTCCGAGGGGGCTGTGGTGTGTTAAGAGGCATGCGGGTACCCGACAGCGAGGGCTGGGGAGATGCTGTTAGCAGAAGGATGAAGAGACCCCTTTGTCCAAGAATCCCCTTGTCCTGCAGAAGCATCATCTTATCAGAGAGCATTTTAATGAGCAAGCTTAGCCTCCAACAGGAAGCCAGAAAGTCCTACCAAAATCAATCCCCCTTGTTGTGAGCCGCAAAGAGCATCGCGTCACTGCCTTAAAATTCACTGTGAGAGGGAGCACAGAGCAGATGTGCTGATTTCACTAGATGGCAGCAGTTACCTGATCAGTCCTACCCTGGGCTCCTTGGTCACCTCCCAGGAAAAGAAATATGGAGTAAACAGTGTCCTCTTTGTGCAAAGCTAAGGGAGAATCAATACTGATGTGCATTTGTGGCTCTTATTTCATCAAGGGTTTTTCCCCCATTGCATTTAATCAGTTAATAATTTATTAGCTTCACCTCTAGCAGACACTGTGTGAACTTTCTGGAAAAACAGGCACCTTTATGCAGGATTGAATCAATTCCCCAAAACTGTTTCCAGGAGAAGCTGAGGTTGGGAATACTCCTCAGCCACTGGGGCAGAAGGAGTTGTGGAGATGTGATGAGCATCGTTGGGCATCCGACTGCTCTTCCCATTTTACCTATTTGCCTTTCCCTTCAGTGTGACCTTGGCTCCGAAGCTCCTCGTTTTGTCAAGTCCTTCACTTCCTGGTGAGAGCCAGGAGGCAGCTCTGAGCCCAGGAGATTCAAGGTGCTGAGGTGCTTTTCACAAACACTGCAGCTTCAGGAAAACATGCCCATTTCTGACCAGACATTGAAGTTTAGTGCTAAAAAGAGCTTATCCCAGCCTCAGTTCTCAAGCTATGACCTGTGTCTTTGTAATTAAGCAACCACATTCACACCTTACCTCCTTTTTCCCACCATGCAGAAAGCTTTAGGGATGCCTCTAGTGTGCTTGAAGACCTCTTGGGAGACGGTGTAACCCTATTTCAGAGCAGAATGCTTCCTTTCTGTCTCTAGGCTTGTTTTCTGACCTCGACACTCATTCCCACCTGGGCGTTATCACCTATGGCGTTTCAATGACGACACTGGAGGATGTCTACCTGAAGCTGGAGGTTGAGGCAGAGATTGATCAAGCAGGTAGGGTGGACCGCAGCTATTTTCCTGTTTTCCCTCATATTTGCTGTAGCCTTAGTTAATGTAGAATTGCCCACGTCACTGCCAGGAGGAGTTTTGCCTTGGAGGCAAGAATAACAAGTCCTCCTGCAGAGCGCAGCAGCTCCTCTGGTCTCGCAACCAGTTCCAGGCTTTTGAAATATTTAACACAAAAACCCCACTGAAAAGCAGTGGTTTTGGGTGTGGAGTGGTTCTGGGAGGATCCAGGGCAAAAGCTTTTTACTTGCTATGTCTGCAGTAATTAATTTTTCATCCAGTGTACTTACATCTTCTTTAGTTCACAGTGGTGCTTTTTAAAATGGGCTTTATTTTCTTAATGGAGCTTTACTTCCAAGCAGTTGCAAATGCACAGTGCAAAACTTATTCCCAACTTTCTGCATGAGCAGTAATATTGGCAGCCTGCACTTAAGGCTGAAATAGATGAACTTGTCTGTTTTTCCTCTCCTTTAAACTAACTTTGGAATTCAAATGAAAGGTTGGGATCACTTACTATTACTCCAGAATGAATCAATTCTTCTTTTGATGTTAACTTTGAATGGTTTAAGTTTACTTTGAATGGTTTAAGTTATCTTAATCTTTCTAGAGCTCTCTGTGTGATACAGACTATTAAACTATCCTGCAAAGTTTCTGCATGGATGTAAGAGGGTTTAGCAGCTGAATATGCTGGTACTGAATAATAGTGGTGTATAAAGGCTGGACTTGATGATCTTAAAGGTCTTTTCCAACCTAGCTGATTCTGTGATTCCATGATACGTAGGTTAATGGTGAGAAATCGGGGTGAATACACCTTTTGAGCGGCAGAAATTTGTATCATCTGCTCTGTGTGTGATTCAGAGCTTTGGGTAGATCAGTGTCATTGACCTTAGGGTTAAGTTGAGATGAGATGGCTTCTGCAATAGCAAGGGGCAGGAACTGGCCACCCAGCTTCCTCCAGCCCTACCATTTCAAATCACATAGTTCTGCCAGAGCATCACGTTGTAGAGTTTCACTCTCTTCTTTTTCAGATTACAGCGTGTTCAATTCCCAGCAAGTGCAGGATGAAATGGATACAAAATCCCTTGATGATATGGAGCAGAGCCTCCTGATGCTGTCGGAGACAAAGGCACCAGCAATGAGCAGTACAGCCCTCTGGAAGAAGCAGGTTTCCACCATAGCAAAAGTTCATTTCCTTAGTCTCAAGCGGGAAAATAAGTGTGTGAGAGTTATGTAAGTATTGGGGCTTTCTTGTTTGTATACCAAAATACTCAAAACTTGTTTGAATGACACCAGAGAAAGGGCAAGTTGTGCTTAATTTTATCCCCACAGTTATATTTGAAACCCAGTAAGTATGATGCTATCCATTACTGTTGAATGCATGCTTTTTGGGGGTGAGGGAGGTGATGTTTCATAGCATGCATAGAAATGAGGTTGGCATTCACTGGATTTTAATAAGCCCCAAACTTCTTTCTTTCAGGTTGTTGCTTTTCCTGATTTTTCTTGTAGTTCAGATTTTATTGTTTTTCATACACCACATCATCAAAAACTCTGTAGCTGCTATCAAACTCTCCCCAGATTTGTACTTGCTGAAGCCCGGAGAGAATTCTCACAAGTACAGGAGTCGCCTCCTGCTGCAGAACTCCACAGGTAGGAAGGCAGAGATGCTCCTGTCTGCACCTCTCTCTTTAATGTAACATTTCACATGGTGGGGAAGGATGGTGTGTACAGCTTTTGGGGCTGGGGACAAACCTTTTCCTTGTAATTGACCCAAATGAATTGTTTCCAAGCACCCAGAGGTGGTAGAGAGTGAGTATCCTTCATGCCATAGGGGTTGGTTTGGATATCCTCCTCCTCCTCCTGTCTCCGGTAGCTTTGTGGTCACTATGTCATAAAATGACCCATATGAACAAACTGGCCCAAGAGCCATTTAGATACATCAACATTAAAATCCTCCTATTCTGGAAAATTCCTTTTTGTTTCAACTTGGGATGTTTTAAATGTGTGTAGCAGCAATCTAGGCAATAGAAATGTGTCCATTTGAGTTACCAGGAGTTTGTGCTTAATACAACTTAATTTCTCTGGACACCATATCAAAGTGCTGCTGGTTTCCTGCTCTTTTAGCTAATTGTCTGCTCAACTGAAACTTTGAGTATCCTGATAATGCTTGTTGGCAGCTCTACTGTGTTTGACTTGCACAAATGCATTGGAGAATAAAACCATAACATTTTCTTGAGTTCTTTGGAGGCTGTTGAGTGGGAAGCCAAAATAAAGCCATTCATGTTGTTGAGAATAGCAGAGGACTCTGGTAGGCATGTGTGAGGAAGCTGATCTTTCATCATAGGGTTGTATCAGTGAGAAAATGCATCTGTGTGGAGCACTCCCAGCTGGTGATGAGGAGGTATTTAAAAGACATGTAGATGTGGTGCTTAGGGACATGGTTTAGTGGTGGCTTGGCAGTGCTGGGTTAGTGGTTGGACTTGACGATCTTAACAGTCTTTTCAACCTAAACAGTTCCACGATTCTGTGTTGTTTCCTCTGTCTTACACCAGAATCCAGTATTGATGACATTGTCCACTCTCTTGGGAGCATGAATATCCTCTTGGAGATGTTCAATGACAGTGATTACGTCTCGGTAGCACCTCACAGCACAGCTTTAAATGTATTTGACCTTGAATCCAGACAGGTAAGACAGCCAGACTGGCTCAGTCGTATCCCAAAGACCAGACAAGCAGCTGGGTAGAGGCCAGGTTTGTTGTTCTCCAGACTGAAAGGCACATATAGAGCCATATAATCAAATAATATCATATAATATTGCTTGTACAAGAGGGCTGTCAAGAGGACTTGTATAAAAAGAAAGGAAATATTATCCAATTATCAAAATACATGTTCTTCCTTAATGAAAATTATGGTGGACCAATAAAACTTCCATCCCCTTTTCTCCTCCCAAGGATACAAATAGCCAAGAGAAATATTTTACTTCACAAGAGACCTGGCAGGGGGTTTATTTCTTTTTTTTTCTTATGCTGGTTGAATTATACAATTTGACAGAAGTGTAATTCCATTGTGCTCTTGTGTATAAAGAAAATGAGTTTCTTGGATTTTAAGTATTCACTTCAATATGGTCACTGGAGGAGTGTGAAACAGATTTGAACACTGGGGTCATATTTAATCCCAAGCAAAGGATCTACTTTGCAACATGTCAGCTCTGTCTCTTGTTTCCATTTTTATTCATTGCAAACTGTTAATATCAGTGTGACAGGGCAGCCCTTAGCTAATGTAAATTTGTGCCTGTCTGGTTTCCAAGTGCATTAGGAAGAACATACGAGTGTGGGTTGTTGTGGGTTTTGTTTTTCGGACTATAATTGTCTGGAGCATCGTTTGTCATAGTGTCACAGTTGCACAAAACATTCTGGGAATTTATCCCAAATAATTTGTTCTCTGTGAGCATGACTTTTCCTGAATAAGGTGATGTGTTATAGCCACCCTGAGCAGCCCAGAGCCTCCTGCAAAGCATCCTCTATTGTGCAAACATTTGTCCTCATGTTCAGGTTTAGTTAAGCCCATAGGAGACCCCTCTCAGGGTATTAACCCTTTGTGCAGAAGAATTAATCCAGCACGTACTTTCCTTTCCAGAACTATGTTTTCACAGTTGTATTCAACAGTACCATGGTGCATTCCCTGCCAGTTTTAATGAACATCATCAGCAATCTACTCCTGCGTAATTTAAACGTGACGGAGAGCATTCAGATCTGGAGCAACCCCTTCATTCAGGTGAGCAGCACAGCAAAAATCACCCGTAAGCACAGGGTAGGTGGCAAAGCATCAGAAGGACATAAAGAGGACACTTCCCCATCCCTGACAGTGCTCAAGGCCAGGTTGGACACAGGGGCTTGGAGCAACCTGCTCTAGTGAAAGGTGTCCCCGCCCATGGCAGGGGGTTGGAACTGGGTGAGCTTTAAGGACCTTTCCAACCAAAATCATTCTGTGATTCTATGATGAAAGGTGTCAGGATTTTTCCCTGCAGCTTGTGGAAGAGGAGGAAAATGGGGCTTGAAAAGAGGATGTTCTGTTGGGAATTTATTACAGGTTCGGTACAGGTTACCTGCAATTCTCGGAGGCTGAATGTGAGGATGCTGGAGGTCTGCTGCCTCCTATGCAGAGCTGGGGTGGCCTTTAAGGGAGAATAGGACCTGCTGCAGGACATAAATACCCTAGGAGTTTATTAGACGTGCTTACAAATACTCCAAAAACTTCCATAGGTGTTTTTGTTACTGCTGTGGCTCAGATGATCTTGAGACACACAGAATATATGTATCAGCATTTACAGTCATGTTCCAATTCTAAATGCATTTATTTTGGTCACACACATTCTAGTACTGAAGAAATCTGATTTATATTTCAGAACCTTCCAGACACAATTTTCAGGCTGGAGATCTATTTTGAAGCAGTATTGCTGGGAATTATCATAACTGGAATGCCACCGTATTTTGCCATGGACAATGCAGAAAACCATAAGGTAAACTCCTGGGTGTTGATTCAGAGTGTGCACAAGAACTTAAAAATCTTGGGATTTGGAGGAAAAAGTCTTAAGAGGTGTTTTAAATAACATTTAATTTACAACGTATTTTCTTTTCCCATTGCAGATCAAAGCATACACGCAGCTGAAGATAGCAGGGCTTTATCCCTCTGCTTACTGGACAGGGCAAGCTGTGGTTGACCTCCCACTGTTCTTCTCCATCCTTATCCTGATGATAGGCAGCCTCTTCGCCTTCCACTACGGTGTTTATTTCTATGTGGGCAAGTTCCTTGCTGTGGTGAGTGCAGTGGGGACCGGAGCACATGTGAGGATGTGAGAGGGTGGTTATGTCGGTTTCTACAAGGGTTTAGGTTTTCTTAGGATGGAGAGAGCTGGGTTTGTTCAACCTGCAGAAGAGAAGGCTCAGGGGAGACCTTGGAGCAGCTCCAGTGCCTAAAGGAGCCAACAAGAAACCTGGAGAGGGGCTTTGGACAAGGGCCTGTAGGGACAGGACAAGGGGAATGGCTTGAACCTGCCGGAGGGGAGATTGAGATGAGCTCTTGGGCAGAAGCTCTTCCCTGTGAGGGTGCTGAGGCGCTGGCACAGGGTGCCCAGAGAAGCTGTGGCTGCCCCATCCCTGGCAGTGTTCAAGGCCAGGTTGGACACAGGGGCTTGGAGCAACCTGCTCTAGTGGAAGGTGTCCTTGCCCGTCGCAGGGATTGGGACTGGATGAACTTTAAGATCCCTTCAGCACAAACCACTTTGTGATTCTATAAAAATGCTTAATTAAGGCTGCTGGAGCAGAGGCACCAGTCATGCTGCACTAGAGGCAAAATAGTACTACTTCTCACGGGGAAAAGTACTCACATTTAGGAGTTTCATTCAGAACTGGAACAAAATGGAGCTTTAACATACAAGGATCTTCCAAGGAAACACTCCATCCTTTTTTGCCCTGCCTGCTCAGTCTGCTTTGTGCTCTTTGCTGCTGATTCATAATTGCTCCCTTTGCATCAGCATGCTGCTAATGACAAGGTTACAGTGACTTTGAACACAGAGAAGCTCCACAACGAATTGAAGTATGTGAATGAAGAGGCTACAAGTATTCATGTCTTTTTATATTCAGTGCAGGCTTCCCTGAGATATTGGCTGTAATTGAGAAGAATCAGATTTTCCTCGCTGCTTTCCCAGAGCTCTTGAGTTAATCAGGTTTGGGATGTGACCGTTGCGCTGCAGGGCTGGTTTATCTCCAAGTGCCTTTACCCTTGCTTTCATTCCTGTGCAGATGCTGAGGTTGAAGGTGGAATTCCTAATACTTGCTAAAATCTTGAGGTCAACATTTGTGGGTGCCTGTGTTATTTAAAACACTGGGAAATAGCTTAAAGGAAACCGAGCAAGTGAGGTTCCTGCCTATCCACACACTCTTATTTACGTCTTTAATAGTGTGTATGTACCAAGGTGACAAAATACATCAAATTAAGTGACACAGATGAATCCAGAGTTATGAATCCCACTGAAGTAATTCCAGTTACACAGAACATCCACCCCTGGGTTCTTGCTTTCCTGAGAAACCTTTCCTCTCGTTGCAGATTTTCTGCCTGATTGGTTATGTCCCATCAGTCGTGCTCTTCACTTATGTGGTCTCCTTCACGTTTAAAAAAGTCCAGAATACAAAAGAATTTTGGTCATTCATATTTTCAGTGGTGAGTAGCCAGGAAGATTGGTTATCTCCAAAGCCATAGTTATTTTAGTGCGCTGCGTGTCCTTAATGCACAAGAAATCTGAACCATTCACTAATGTGAATTAGTGGCATAACCTGAATGATAAAAGCTTTAAAAAATGTACCTCAGATTAGATTATTTCTGCTTAGAGAGCCTGAACTAAATGAAAATTAACTTTTTTCCCCTTTCCTTTTGTACAGACAGCCTTGCTATGTACGGTTGTCACCGAAGTGGCGTTTTTTCTGGACTATTACCTGGTAACCACCGTCCTGCATTATGTCTTCTCCATCTTCATTCCCATTTATCCCCTTATTGGCTGCCTGATTTGTTTTATAAAGGTAAGGAGGACATAGGAGATCCTCTCCAGAGCACTTGCTGATGGCTGGGGTTGGGTGGGTGTCTGTAATGATAACGGAGCAGCAGTGGTGTAACGTCATCTGTAGCTATTTAACATGTGAAAAATAGCAACTGGTGGTTAAAAATCACCTTCATCCTGAAAGTGAAGTGTTGCAATTCTAAAATGAGGAAATGAGCAAGTCTTCCATTAAATATCTACAGGAAAACCATGTATTTCTCAGCCTGTGGACTGAGCAAACCCAGGGATGGGAAATGGGTTAATTGGGAGCTGGTGGCTTTATACCAGAAGCAGCCCCAGGGACTTTGGTGGAGTTTTAGTGGTGTTGAACTCGTGCAAGCAAGGTCTCTGCGGAGCTCAAATTGCTTGAGCAGCGTATCTTAAATGACTGATGGAGACTAAAGTGTGGTGTAGAATATGCAGGCTCTGGTAGGTGATTCTTTACCTGAGTATGTTTCCCTCGTTGTCAGGTCTCATGGAAAGGCAAGCGGAAGAACAGTGGATACTACGACCCGTGGGACCGGCTCCTGGTAGCAGTTCTAGCTGTAAGCATGATTATTTGGTTATTTGCTATATTTGCTGTAGAGAATTACCAGCTCCTGCTGGGATGCCTCTTCTGTTCAGGCTTCTTTATTAGTAAAGGTTTGATCTAATGCTGAGCATTGCTGGAGCCCACAGCTTTTGCAACCTGTTGCGGTGTGAACAGTACGAGTAAAGCTGCTGTACTTACCAGCTTAACATCTGCTTCAGCAGCCTTATCAATGGTGGCAATATTTATCCTGATTATTATGGATTCCATGCTCATGAGCAAGAATTGGAGCAGGGGATAGTCCCTCCTCTCTCCAAAAACCCCAAATAATTGCTACTAAATCTAAACAGACGCTGGTTGTGCATGCTCAGCGTTGACCCACTGAGCAGCATCTTCTTGGAAACATCAGCATTTCTGTGGTGGTGAAGAGCTGGGGCTTCTTGTTGCTCATTAACACTGGTGGGATCACCTATAGGGTTATCTATAGGGTCACCAGCCTTGGAGAGCCAGCAGCACTCCAGGTAACCACGACTGTATTTGTCTGGTTTAGCCCTATTTGCAGTGTGTCGTGTGGCTGTTCCTACTGCGGTGTTTCGAGCTGAAGAATGGAGGGAGGACAGTGAGAGAGGATCCATTTTTCAGGTCTGTCTCTGTTGAATAGACTTTGTAAAAGTAATAATCCAATGGAGCTGGTTTTAAAAGTGGTGGTGTTGATGAAACTGGAGTATGGAGTGTATAGCTATGGGGAGTGCTGCAGGAAATGTAATACCTTCGGTTATATCCCATCCCAAGTGTCTGCAGAATTTGCTCTCCTAGTTTTAGTTGTCTGAAATTCAGTCACTAAAGTGCATTAAAGTTACTTCCTTTAAGTTACTCCTGCAAAATTAGGAATTTTGTAAGGATATCACCTATATAAAAATAGGGGAACTTCCTTTCCTATTGCATGGCTAGAGATGCCATACCCCAACAAAGAGCTCAGCATGAAGATGGCATAGTTGCAGTCACTGCCAGCTCTTTCTGCTCTTTTGGGGCTTTCAGATGTGCTGCAGAAACGTGTTACTCCCAGGTTTGACAAACACAAGTTGCTTTCTGCATCAAAGCAACGAGCGAATCTCAGCTGGATGCTGAGCAGCAGCATCATGTTGTTTTCTTCCCCTTAGAAAGTGTTTTACCAAAGCCAAAACTTGGAAGTTTCCAGATGTGCCACGTGATGACAACGAAGATGAAGATGTGAAGGCAGAGAGGCTGCGAGTCCAAGAAGTGCTGAGCAGCCCCAAAAGCGAGGAGGTAACGCTGTGGCACTACCCAGAACCCTGATTTGGAGGTTTCCCAGAGTTGCTGAGATCCACATCCTCTTCTCTCTCCAATTCCAGATGCCAGCAATCCTGGTCAGCAGCTTGCACAAAGAGTTTGATGAAAGAAAGGAATTTCTTCTGGGGAGAAAAATAAAGAAAGTGGCAACGAACCATGTTTCTCTCTGCGTAAAAAAAGGTTGGATTTCAACTACTTGCAGTTGAGCTGTTGTAGTTACAACAACAACTCTTGAATCCATTTACCTGACCTCATCGCAATGTTTTATGTTCTCCTTCCTTTAGGGGAGATACTGGGTTTGTTAGGACCCAATGGAGCTGGAAAAAGCACGTTAATCAATATGCTTGTTGGAGAGATTGAGCCAACCAGTGGGCAAGTACGTTACGTGCTACAAACTAAACAGAAAATGAATATTATTATTATTGTTATTTTTATTATTACTGTTACAAGCATTCCCAAGTGTTTTTTGCTAAGACTTTACAAAACCGGTTCTGAAACTTACAATATCGAGTAAGGTCTGTGCATTTTCCTCGCAGGTTCTGATGGGAGATGATGCTTTTGGCCTGCACAGTGAAGATGACTCAGTGAAATTTGTGGGGTACTGTCCTCAAACCAACCCGCTTTGGCCAGATATTACATTGCAGGAACACTTTGAAATTTATGGTGCCATCAAAGGAATGAGTCCATCTGATGTTAAGGAAGTCGTAAAGCGGTAAGTAGCTTATTATAGGAATGTTTAAAGTCTAGCTATGTTTTTCTAAGAGGCTGTTGGAGGTTTTTTCCCGCTTTCCCTAATGCAATCCTTTTTTCCTTTAAGTTCGATTGGGTCTTTTCAGCAAATTCAGCTAGTGTGAATTGTAGGTTGGGAGATACAGATTAAACCATGCGAAATTCAACTGGTATTTGCAGTTTCATATTCTCTTTAAAGTTATGAAGGGCTCTGGATGACCCTTGCAGAGGATGGGGGGTTGAGGACTTAGAGCTGTTTCTGGGTTGTCACCACTGGCTCCTGTGGGACACGGGGAAGGTGGTTTTTGTATGGAAGTGCCCAGCTCCAATTCTGTTATTGCTCTGCTCTTTTAATACCTTATATCCAAATATTTGTAACTGAGTCCTTCAAGTGGGGCTGTTTGCATACTGTGTGATGAGGGGGAAGCCAAACCATCACCAGCTTTTCACATGTGGTCCTCCCTCTTCTGCAGCATCTCAAGTGCCCTGGATCTAAAAGACCACCTGCAGAAGACAACCAAGAAGCTGGGAGTGGGGATGAAGCGCAAGGTGTGTATTGGGGAGCTGCTTGAGCTGCTGCTGTTGGGGTGTCCCCAGCATCCATGGTGTCCTTACCCTGTCCCTTTGCCTTCCTCCCAGCTGTGCTTTGCCCTCAGTATGCTGGGCAACCCGCGGGTCACACTCCTGGATGAACCATCAACTGGGATGGATCCAAAAGCCAAGCAGCACATGTGGTGAGTTGCCAGGGCCATGACGGCCACAGGCTTGTCTCTCTTTGCCCAGTTTTATGTGTGCATTATCCCTCTTAACACTAGGGAGAGCCATAGACAGGGAATAAGGCATCCTTAGTGCCAGGTGCACTTCATCTGTGTCCTCTCCCAGGACAGCTTGGAGATTTAAAGCTTGGAAGTCAAAAGTAATCTTCAAAATAGTGTAAGAAGTGTAGATTTGAGTCACGTTTGTGAAAAATTCAGGTGTTAATTGTAGTAGTATTGCTCCATAAAATAGAGGGTTTGTGTTTAACCTCTCCTTACTAAACCAGGATTTACTGTTACGTGCTAAATGTTTTATTCGGGGATTTTCTTGGTTATGTTTTATAGGAGGGCAATTCGAGCAGCATTTAAAAATAAGGAGAGAGCAGCAATCCTGACCACTCACTACATGGAGGAGGCAGATGCTGTCTGTGACCGTGTGGCCATCCTGGTGTCTGGGCAGCTCAGGTACTACTAGAGCCCTCCCTGCAGGGAGGGCAGGACAGCAGTCAACGAGAATATATTGCTTTAAAAATATAGCTATACAATTTATTTTGCACCTTAAACTTGGAGCAAAATTAAGCTTTAAACTGCAAAAAGTGGTCTGTTAGGAGTTAAGCTGCTTTTTGAGTGTCTTGTAATATGTATGACTCATTTTCTCTCTGCAACTGGTAGATGTATAGGTACCGTCCAACACCTGAAGAGTAAGTTTGGCAGAGGATACTTCTTGGAAATGAAACTAAAAGAAACAGCAGATGTACAGCAGGTGGATTATCTGCAGAGCCAGATTTTGCACATCTTCCCCAACGCGAATCGCCAGGAAAGGTGAAGTTGAACAAATACATGGAAAACGTTGACATTAATACAAGCCCCTGATTTCTGAGCAGTTCCTTGGCAGCAAGTAGGGAATGCCAGGATAGTAAAACTTACAACAAATATTTACATATGGCTTAAAAACAAGAAAAGGGAGGGTTTTGCAGGCCAGCAGAAGCTGCCAGGCGGTGGCTGCGAGCCCTGCCTGCAGATGTTCAGCACGGAGGAAGCAAAACTCCATTTCTGCATAACTGTTGCCTGACGGCTTCCTCCTCGGTTGGGGCCCTCGGGAAATGGGTAAAATCTGAGTCACTGGCCCTTGTCTGGAAACGCTTCAGTGTTTTCTGGGGGTACCTCAAGAGTTTGAGGGGGGGTTGGGTGGTTTTCTGTCAACAGCTTTGATTTGCTGTATGAACTGAAGGGTCTGGCTTGGTGAAACTCTCCAGAAGGGCACAGGGGGCATTGTGTAAGAAGTGTCCCTCAAATGGGGGTGATCTGGAGGAGAGTTCAGTTTACAGAAGCAAATGTGTGGGGTAGAGCAGCTCCCTTTTCTGGAATGTGTGTTGCGGGATCCGCTGCATGATGCAAAGTCCCAATAGACCCTGTGGCCTCTGCCTGAGTTCATTTGAAAGGCAAAACCTCACAACCACAGGAGTTCCCGGCAGCGATTTTTCTTTCATGAGTTTATAAGAGAATACAAGTGGTTGAATCCAAGCTGAAGATCATGAAACACAAAGCAGTCTCTGGGGATCTCAGCTGATGCACCTGAACCTGGGTCTCTGGTACGGGTTGTAAACCAGCTGGTCTGGAGCTGCATCATTCCTGTTGTCTTGCATGACGATAAGTAGTCAAAATGCCTGGATTAACCTTTGTAAAATGAGTTTAAATCCCTTCACTTGGATGTTAATCTTTTTGCTTTGAGTAATTTCACCTGAAGCTGTATTTTCTTTGTTTCTTTATTCCAGTTTTGCTTCTATTTTGGCATATAAAATTCCTAAAGAAGATGTACAATCGCTTTCACATTCTTTTTCCAAGCTGGAAGAAGGTAATTAAGCAATTGCCATGCATCACATACAGAAACCATTTTGTCCCCCGTAACTGACACATTTGCCATGAGGTGACACTTCTGCATTTCTGTTCCAAATCTGTGATTTATGTTTTCTATTATTTTTGCTGTCCCCAACTCTGTTTTGTGTGAAATCCATTGTAAGCACTTGTACCACCTTAGAATACTTTAAATCCAGCAGTGTCACATAGTGAAGCAACCCTAAATATGCTCTCTTACTAATTCTTTCAACAGTAAAACATGCCTTTAACATCGAGGAGTACAGCTTTTCCCAGGCAACACTGGAACAGGTATGTTAAAGCAAATGATACTTTGTGGAAGCAAACCCCTGCAGGCAAAGATGTTGCAGGTCTTTTGGGTTTTGCAGGCATCTGGGGTAGATTCACTTTGCCTTGGCTATGCAGTGGATGGAGGGGATGAGGAGCCCTCATGTGCAGGCAGCTTGTCCTCTGTACCTGGCTTTCAGGCAGGTGGGGATGCTCTGCTGATGCCTGTTTGGGCACTTTTGGGGACTTGAAATTCCCTTTTGCAAAGCGAATTGGGACCGCCAGTTCCCTGAAAGGGAGGGTAAAGCTGAGGCTTAGTATTGCTTATTCTGGATTAGTTATTGCTGACCACAAATGTCCTTCAGTGTGTACTTAGTTCAACTTCCTTTTCACTGTTCTCTTGATGAACTGAGGTGAGAGGGTAGGAGCAAGTTAACCCAAAATACTAGAAACTTCCTACTTGGAGATGAATCAGTACATTTGATACTTGTGAGGCTTTTAACATGAGTTCTACTAAGAAAGTTCCTACAAGCAGCATGATGTATTCACACCCTTTCTGTCTGTCCAGGTTTTTGTGGAGCTTGCTAAAGAGCAGGAAGAGGAGGACAGCACCTTTGGCACCCTGAACAGCACACTGTGGTGGGAGAGAACACAGGAAGACAGGGTTGTTTTCTGAGCTCCTCATGGTCCAGACCTGCTCTGCAGCTGGTGTGTTGTGCCAGTGATGATCCTCTGTGCAGACATCAGGGCATGAGCATGGAAATGGAGAAGGAAAATCATATTTGGAAGCACAGAGCACGTTCCACCATCCTGGCCTTAGGAATATCGCCACAATAGCGGTGAGCGTCCCCACCGTTGTTCTGGCTGACCTGAAATTCCTTCTCCCCTTGCTGTTTCCCAGATTGAGCAAGAAGATGCTGCCACGGCAGTCAGTCATCTCCTGGTGTTGGTGGCTTGTACAGGAGCACCCGCCTGCCTTCCTCCCTCGGCTGTGCTGTGCTGAGGTTGGGATCCTTCCTGGAAATCTTGCATCTGAGCAAAACCAGTTGCTGTTGGAGCATCCTGCCCTGTGGGACTTGCTCACTGGGTCTTGCCTTGCCCCATGCCCTTGGCTGGGCGTTGCTGCCTGCCCAACGAGGTGCTGTGCAGACACATGTCCCTGCAAGGTCCTGTTCTCCCACCAGCTGCTCCGTCCCTGCTTATGCTTAGAAGATGCACTTGCTTAGAAGAGAGGGGCAAAACCACTCCAAAGTAATGGTATTCACTGCAGAGAGGGTCCTGAATTCCACTGCAAGCTTAGCTTGGTATCCAACCAATGTGAAAATGTTCCTTTACAGATCTAATATGGCACTTGTTGACACACACATTCCTTTCTACTGGCAGCTGTGGCCGATTCCTGCCGCTGTTATGGGAGGCACTGGTGTTCGTAATGCATGCACTGTAGGGTTCAAGGGGTGTACAGATGTGGATGCTTTCTTTCCCCTGCTTGGTGAAAGTACAAAGACATAACTGTGTAGTTATGGGATTTGCAGAGATGTGAGTATTCCCTGTCTTCATTACAAAGTCTTGATTCTTTTGTTGGGTGTAACAACATGTATCCTGCCAGTTGCTTTTAGAGACAGTCCTTCTTAGATGTCTTCCTTTTCCTTGACAGTGAATTCTTAAGTATGTGCAACAGTATTTCCTAATCCGTCTTTGTTGTGATAGCAGTAAGTAATGCAGCAGTGTGCTCAGCACAGGAACATTTGCTTTGTCCTGGCCTGTCAGTTTTCCATTCACCTTTGTTAAACCCAAAAGAAAAAGTTCCAAATTCTCAACCTCATTGCTAGGAATGGTGCCTTTGGTTTGCGTAGAAGCACTAAGAGAAGCAGAATAGGTGGTCCTTTAGCCTAAGATATGGCAGATGTATGAAAATATATATATATTTTGGTTTTCTACACAAAGCTATCATCACCTCTTTTAGTTTTATAAGGTAAAATTAAAGATTGCTAACAGTTCATTGTGTTCTGCAATGAACAAATATAGAGATGCATTTTTATCGAGACATTGGCTTCATAAGTCATATCAATTATGCATCTCCACATTAGACTCAGAAAAGACCTTGTTTTTCTTGCAGAAACTCAAGAGACTATGGATTAGCAGACTTTTGTGTCCCAACTGTTTGTATTTATCAGGCAATAATGTATGTTACATGTCTGAGAGTGGTTTGTCAGCGTGTTGAGCCCAAATCTGTTATCGTTAGTTTCTACTTTACAGTGGGGAGATGTGAACTCTTTATGTACAACCTTTCCTTCCTCTTCTGTACCTGTAGATTGCATAAACATGTACAGATTTTGTTCTGTAGTTAAAACTTGAGCCCAGGAACTGCAGGAACATGTGGACATCCCATCTGCTTCCCCAGGGGAAGGTCCCTGTTTTGGGGAGCCCTCAGCCGTGGCACTTGCATATGCCCTAATCTCCTGTGCTGGAACTTATCAAAGTACAGCTGTGACATGTTAGCCTTGATGCCTTCTTTTAATTTTATCCTTGAACTTAAAGTCAAAGTTAATAGTCTGTAAAATAGCTCTGGGCTGTCTGGATAACGTCATCTTATTTCAAATACTTTCTTATTTCCTAATGTTTCAATTGGATCCTAAGAAAGCCTCCATTAGCAGCTAGATTTGTTCAGCTTGGTACTGATCTTGTTTTCCTTGGAGTAACCCAGTCGATGGTGGCACTGTATTTGTGCAAAGAATTTGTCTCTTTACGTGAACTGCATGTTTGGGTGGGACCTTTTTGGTGTGGGGACATAGAGTCAATGTGGCACAAGATGCCACTGCAAACATTGATGTAATCATAGTGGATTGTATCAGAAGTCTTTCAAAGTATCATACGATGGCTGTAGTTGCCAGAATAGGGAGAAACACATGCAAAATTACATTCCCAGGGGATTCTCTGGTTTGAGAGCTTTATTCCTGCAATTTTAAGTGACTTTGTTCATGCCAAATCACAGCCGTAAAATACACATGGCCAGGTTGTGCTCCGAGACAGGGCAGCTGGATTCAGGCTGACTGTGGGACTTGGAGTAAATCAGTCCAGTTTGTGCCACCGTTCCCGGTCCAATGGGCTTAGTTACCTTGCAGGGTGGTTGTGAGAAATACTGAGCTAGTATATCCAAAACGTGGGAGATGCATTTACTTTGTGGTGTTATATTATAAGGTATTTTTATATGGAGGAATTTAATGTGTCTCATTTCGTCTACATCCCCAAGAAAAGCCTTTATTTAAAAATCTCTCTGTATAGGAAGTGAAGTTTGTTGCATAGCAGACATCCAGCACTCTGGTTGCGGACACGCAAGGTGTTGGGCCTAAAGGTGACACATTGGTAATGCTCCTCCATCTGTTGCTGTTGGGCACTTTGAATCATTTGCAGTTTAATTTATCCGTGTCTGTCTTTTACCACTTTGTTGTGTTTGTAAAGTCGAGGTTTTTCCTTTTCCACCAGAAAGTACTACCAAAATAAAGATGGATTGGATTGTTAAATGCTGGCGTTTCTATCATCTGTGTGCTTCCCTGTGCTAGAAATAAGGGGATTGGTTTCAAAAGCCTTCGCTGTTCCTGGCTTGCAGGTGAGTGGGCTCAGGCAGAGCATGGGGCTGACAGGCTGCAATAATTCCATATTTTCAGTTGAATTCAGGGAATTTCAGTATTGAGACACTTGGGATTTGACCAGCCGCCCGCAGCCAGATGAATTCAACCCAACTTCAGGCTAGAAGTGACCCTGCAGCAGCTGCGTGCTCCTGGCACACCATGTCCTGCATCTGCGGGATGAATCACGTCCATCCTCTTGAAAATCAACCCCACTGAGAAGATAATAATCCATTTTTTGTGGCTGGAACCCAGGATGAACTTGCTGGATGGGCGCTTGCGATGGGTGGTGAGACACTGATGGGGAGAGCTTTGACTGAAGCTGGACCATGAAACCATGGTCTTGCAGGGATGAAGCACACTGCTTGCTACTTGGCTGCTGTGTGGGACTGGCATGACCCACTGCTGAGGAGGAGGTCCACCTTTAGCCCTGTGGGTCAGTTAAGGGCTTAGCAAAATGAAAGGGGGTTGTGCTCCCTGAACCCCTCAGTGAGGAGGAAAACCACCCCAAAGAACTCAATCTGAATTTGGGCAAAGTTCCCAGGTGTCATTTTGGGGATAAAAGGCATTTTTCTGTAGACAATGTGCAGGGCTCCACACTGCACCAGGTACTGCCAGCAAGCTATGGCACAAGGTAAGTGTTGGAAAAGTAGTGGGTTTTTAGTGAAGCACATCCCAGATGTGCTTTCTGCAGTGATGAGCCGCCTTCCCTATTCCTCCCTTGTTGCCCAATGGGAAGTGATGCAGGGAAATGCTCTGCTCCTCTCCTAAATAAGCTCATTCCTTGAAAATGAGTAAATTGGCAGCTGCAGAAGATCTACAGCCTTCTGTTAAGCAACAACCAGATGGCTTTTGTGTTTTTAGGTTTTAGGTTTTAGGCTCTGCGGATCAGATGCAGAGTCCTTAAGCTGTTGAAGTTCCAGGACAACCAAATTCCTTAAGCTAGTTGAATTGTCATGTGGCTCTACACTCATTTGGATTTCCTGGCTTATCTGTTTTCCTCACCTGCCTGTTCTGAATGCAGATCCACTGGAAAGCTGTTTTTTAGAACACCCAACAAACCCCATCCTGATTCCAGCTGTGTGGCAACTGCTGGAAAAGCAATTAAAAGGAGTGGAAAATTAAATGTATTAAAACCAAAGAGGAACTGAGAAACAAAAATCCCACTGGTCCTCAGATACAGGATTTGCCTCTGGAAAGGAAGGAGTTTCTGCTGCTCAGGCTCTGGGGAACTGAGATGTGACGTTTCTCCTCCAGAAAAGCTCGGGCAGGGACGAGGTCGCTTTGCCACCCATCAGGAGCTCACATTCACCCCACCCCAGGACACCATCTCCGAGTAGAAACATGCTGTTGTATTGCACACAATGCCCATGTTCTGTTAAACACTGCAAAACAGAGCGTTAATATGTCCAGGCTTTAGGCTGGGTGGTTGCAGGTGCTGCTCCCCTGCTGGGTCATTGTTCCAGAAGCTTTGAGAGCATTCCCACCTCTGGGACCGGGCTCTGACGTCAGGCTAGAGAGGAGCAAGGCCATTGGGCTGTGATACAGCATTGAACCCTCTCCAGGGCTGCGAAGAGACAGAGAGCCCAGGCATCTGGGAGCTGGAGGAGACCTGTTCCTAATGGAAAACCCATTACCAGGTAAAAAGCTTCATGTTTCCTTTTCTTAAGGGCACTTTCATGCAGGGGTTGTGTTTAGTGATCGTTTTCTTTCCTAACTATTTTAATACAGTGTCATGCTGTAGGAGCTGTACTTTCCAGCTCTGTTCTCTGGCAAACACTAAGCTTCACATCAAAATGTTTAAGAGGCAAAGAAGCAAAACTATTCGGCTTTTCTGGGTGTGATTTTGATTCTTGCCACTGACATACTTTGGCTCAAGACAGAGCTGCAGGTTGAGCTCTGGGTCTTTCCAGCTAACAGCTCCTCTCTTCTCCCCCCTCCTCCATCCTTGGCATCACCAATAAAGGCTTCTATAAGCACAGACCCCCAAACTTCACTTCCCTATGAATTAAAGTGTTGAACTTTGATGCAGAACAGGCTTAGAGCTGTTTTTCCTCAAGTTCTGAGTTTAAAACTGTTAAAGAGCCAGTACAACCCTGTCTCATATTTATCAGGAGTTAGGGCTGCGTAGGGGTCAGATGCAGGTCTTTGGTTTTGCACTGACTGGCAAACAAGAGGGTATATAGTGAGCACGTTCACCTCTGCACTCTCCACGTGCAGGGATTGATTGTTGGCTATTGGAAAACCGGTGGCTTTCTTCCTAGCCAGCATCGAGAGGTTCCTGCCAGTGCTCCTGAAGAGCTTTTAGGAGTTCATCACCATCTGCTCTGATAGGTTTTTATTAGAGGGGAAAAGAAGTCTGAGGAGGTGCAAAATAGGAAATCCCCGAGCTGGTAAATAAACAAAGTGGTTCTATGGGACATGGCTTCCTGGGACAGCCTTTGGTAGGGAAAAACCTTTGGTGTTTATCTTAGCAAAGAGAAACACAGAACCCCAGTAAAAGTTCCTGAAGCACCTGGGGAGTGTGTTCCTGCAGAGCAAGAGGTTTGGGTGGAATTAATGAGCCCCAGGAAAGGGAAATGCTTCCAGAGACATCCAGCCTTACAAGCGATGATCTTAACTGGCTTAAAGCTTCTCAAACACCGTTGCTTCCAAATAGATTTCTTATGCTTGGTTTTGTTTTCTGAATCAGAAGGTTTGAATCTCAGGTGTTGTAGAGGCATTTGTCCCATGTACGTTTTGTGTTATTTGTTATCTAATTGAAAGTTAAATTCATCTTGATGAAGCCTGTGCAGCATTTGCAGGCAGCATCACTTGTTTGAATTTCTGGCTTTGTGATTCCAGCAGTATTTGCTTCTTGCTCCAAAGGCAAAAATAAGATTAAAGCTGGTAGAAATTTAGCTGGAATTTCCTAAAAACTTTAAGAATTGCTCCATCTTTAGTTTTAATGAAGCGTTTGTTTTGTCTGCAGACAGTCGGTGCAGCTCTTACAAGAGCACAATGTTTTCCGTGATATCCAAATACTCCAGCATGAACCCTTGTTTACTGCCCCAGCATCCCTGAGCTGCTGCTTCCAGTTCACAGTGGCTGAAGTCCAGACCTGGGCAAAAAACCTAGTGCTTCCTAGAAATCCCTTCCAGATTGCCTTTAACCTTAACTGCAGGCGGCAGTGGGGAAGCACGGGAGAGAGCTCCAGGCAGGGAAAGCAGTGCTCCAGGGAGATAAGCCCTGTGCTAACAGTCACAGAATAAACATGGATTCTGGATCCATTGCCCCTGGAGTATGCAAATATTGAATTCTTCCAAAAACAAACAGTGAAGGGAACAGAGTAGTAGAACCATTTATTAACTCCAGCTGCCCAATCCGTGAAACCAGGAAGTGATGTCCAAGGGGAATAGAGCACTGTGCGTTTGAGATCACTTTGATTTCTTTTGGTTCCAGCCATTTTAAATGATTAAAATACAACAACATGTTCTGAGGTTCCCTCCCCTGCTCTCTACTTGGGGAGGTTGTGAAACCAGTTGCTCTTGCAGCAGGATACTTGCTGCTTGGCCACATGGTTAAAGTTGGAGGTGAAATAAATATTCCCCATAGAAATATCCCCCAATAGGTACTCCCTGTTTAGTATTTAGGAAGATATAAAGAAACGCATCGGTGTGCTAGTGCTGCCCTGCCCTATCTATCCTGGAGCTATAATACAACATACTAGCTTTTGGGTGAAAACAGAACACATCAACCTCTTTTAGCACTCAGGAGCTGGACTTGACCCCACTGCTGCAGATCATTTGTGTTAAGTATTTTGAATAACTGCATAAAAAAGAAAATTAAACTGTGTAACTGCTTTCTTCTATATGCTGTTCAACCTTCTCACATTCTTAGTACAGGATGGACCAGCTTTTCTCTGTTAATATTACGTACATAAAGAATCAAACTATAGCTGGTTGAATGCCTCTTTCTGCAAAGCCTCTTTGGATGAAGAAGGATGCAAGTGGAAGAGGCGGCTTAGTCCAACCCAGGTCTCTGTTCCCTTGTGTCATCTTGGACTATTTCCTTCAAGCTTCTCCTTGGTTGTCCAAACTGTAAAATGGAGAGAAGTTCTTAAACTTTGGCATGGTATTGGTGTTCACCTGAATAGATACATTTACTTCCAGTGATCTGTTTTATTCTGTGGTTGTATTCTAAATGATAATACTTAATTTCTCTTCCTAGCTGGGACAATGCAGGGGGTGTTCAAGAAAGCCTTAAAAATACTTCAGCAAACCCAGGCTCTCCTATGGAAAAATATTCTTCTGGTGTGGAGGAGGAAGACAGAAAGTTTTCAGGCAAGTACCGGTTCTTCCAAAGGGAAGTTAGGATTTCCACTACAAATGGTTTTTACTTTGCATTGTGTTTGTGCTGGGTGATATATGAGAAACCTCAGATGGTAATGTGGTTCTCTGGAAAATGTCAGACACTACAGTATTACAGCATAAGAAGGTCTTGTTACAAAGCTGGCGTGTGGCTTTTGGTTGTTGATCCCATTTCTGTACTGCCCAGAGGAACACAATGTCCAGTTCATGATTACGGGTGTAAAATTATCAGCAGACATCATTGGCTCTGGTGCTAAGAAAACATGTTTTTCACTTCAAACATTGCTCATATTTTAAAGTTATTATACCTGTGAAATGGCTCTTCATCACTGATGGCTGGAGGAGCTGGACTGTGCGTAGCAGAGTTGGATGAGGAGAGTCTTTGAAGACACTTCCCACACCACCCAACCTCCAAGTCATGGGGCTGCCACTCACTCCTGCATTTCCTTCTTTTCACTAGGAATGGGCCACGTCAGCGGTTTTTCTCTTAATAATACAAACATCAGCAAGTATGATATACCACTACCCACGGCAAGAAATCCCTTACAAGTTCCTGGGACAGTTGGATGATGCAGCCTTCAACGCTACACAGGTTACACTCGCATACACTCCTGTAACAGCCACCACCAGGCACATAATGAGCAAAGTGGCTTCGGATTCTGCAATGACAGGTAATGCTGCTCTTAAATCACTGTTGGAGCTGCACAGTCTGATCTGACCCTGACACAGTCATTGTGTGCAGCGAGAAAAGCATTTGGATGACACAGTTCTTCACGGTACAGATTGTGGCTGATGCCATTTTCATTTTTAATAAATACAATAATGTAAAACAATCAAAGTTTCAGCTGCGGTGGTTTTATTCTTCTGTTTTCACTCTTTTTTAACACGAGGTATAACAATAGAAGAGGTGGACAATGAGAGAGAGCTGGAAACAAGAGGAATTTTGGAGGAAGACGTTATTGGTGTTGTTTTTAAGGATGACTTCTCCTACCGTCTCAGATTTCAAAGCTACAGTGTGGTGTCTCCAAATGATGCCTTCGAACACATCGGTAACAAAATAAATGAAACCAGAGGACTTGATTTTACATTAAAAAGTGCTTAGATGGATCTCTGTGATGCCATGCCACGGCGAAGGGATCAAAGGCTCTATGTGCTAAGTGTTTTTGAAAGATATTAATTAGAATTTGAGGGTTTGTTTATTTAGAAGGAAACAAATGTCAAAGAAAAGCTTTTAAGAACACGTTATCCACGGTCTTTTTTGTCCCTCTCCTTTCTATGTCTTGCCATGTCAGATCATGCCTGGAAAATGAGCGTTGAGTGTGCACTAATCTACTTCTAATGTTTAGTGTATGGACATGTATTTAATACATTAAAGCGTAAATCTACACACACATTTGTCCATATTACTACTTTTTTGACCAAAATCACCCCTATTTACTGACTAAAAGTAGTAAATTATCAAAACCAAACAGTAACCTTATAATGAGATGAAATTGAAGTGAATTCATCAGTTGATGGGGAAAAAAGAAAAGTATGTTGCTAAGAACTAGTCTTGGAAAATGGAAATGATGGAGAGGTCATTTGTCCCGTCTACTCAAGTCAGTAGCCCTTTGCAGATGTGACCCCATCTCCAGTGTGCTCTGGATTTCCTAGAGGAGCTTCTTCCCTGCCCTCAGCATTGATTCTTGATTTCCTGACCTTTAGGTCAAATACATTTTCAACCCCACAGATTATACAAAAGAATTTATACGTATATACATGTATATGGGAATATATAAAATTCTTCATTTATTTTCTTTCAGATACCTGCTCTAATTTTTCATCAGATACCTGCCACGTTCCCTTGTACTGGTATGCAGGTTTCCTATCATTGCAGACCAGCATCGATGCAGCAATCATAGAAGTAAGTGTGATCATGATGGAAAATAACATTTTCTGTTCTTTACAGAGTCATCTGTAAACTTAAAAACACAACCAACTAATGAAAAAAACCCCAAAAAACTCAAACCAGTTGCTTTCCTGTGATCATTAACTTTTCAAATACATAGAGTGATTCAAAAGATAAAAGAGTGATGGGTCATTCTCCTGGCTCAAGGCACTTTTAGTGTGTATTACAAGGGAATACAAAGCGACACTAAATATTGATGTTATTTCCCACTTAGAAATGCAACATTGTTACTGACAGACTAATAATAAACACTTATGGGAACTTGTTTGTTCTGATGTTGGCTGTTTCATTGCAGAAAATGAAATGAATGGCTAATTTGTTTCCTTTAGATGAAAACAAACCATTCTGTGCGGGAAGAGATGAAGTCAATCCGTGGCGTTCGCCTGAAATCGCCCTTGATCAAGCCTGTGTATAAAATGGATTATTTTTGGTTCATTACTTACATTATATTGTGCTTCTCCCCATACATGTACTTTTTATCAGTGAAAGTTATAAGAGAGAAAAAGAAGCTGAAGGTGTTAATGAGAGCAATGGGTTTGCAAGATATCGCATTCTGGTAAGTCTCATAATAATAACCTGGGTAATTACAGGAATTATGTGTATAAGATGTATACTAGCTCGTGTGATGGATGTGGTTCTGGTAGCACTGCTCAGCTGAGACAAGTGGCTGCCCAGACCCCAGCAGCAACTACTTACAATCACCTTAGAGTGATTAGATGCCCTGTGGCTCTTTGCTGCTATCATTGCATTTGCAGAGACTTGGGTAGGTGCAAGACATGGATATTTGAGCAACCTGGTCTAGTGGAAGGTGTCCCTGCCCGTGGCAGCGAGTTGGAACTGGATGAGCTTTAAGGTCCCTTTCAACCCAAACCATTCTATGGTTCTATGATTTACACCTTTCCGGTCTGGAAACTGTAAAGAGATTTGTATTTGGAATGACAAAGTATTTGAATTAAAACCAATGTGTGTTATCTTGGCTATGCCATGGCAAGTGCTGTCATGTACAGAGGCAAAAATAACTGTGCCTTCATTTGTAGGTTATCCTGGAGCTTGCTGTACACTTTTTACATTTCAATAACAGCAACTCTGCTGACGCTGATCACGATCACAGGAGTCGTCCATGACCACAGCTTTTTTGAAATATACTTCTTTTATTTCTTTTATGGCACAGCATCTGTAAGTCTGCTTTTGCCTTCTTAAATGCTGCACAATTCTTTTCCATTTCCTAAGTAAAACATCTGAAACTCAAAGACTACAAAGTGCTCTGGGGCTAGGCATTATATGAGAAAGTAACAAATACTTCACTACTGGGATTTATTGTTATAATTGGTAGGCTAATATCTCAATCCTATTACATTCTGACTTGGATCAGAGTAAAGAAAGATGTTAACACTAGCATTAATGGGAAGGCTGGGGCTGCCTCCTGGCATCCAGCCTTCTGGGGAGGCCAACAGGGGTCTGATCCTTCTGCCTTTATAGACCTGTCTGCTAAATGATGCAAGCCTTGTGACGTGCCATGTAGGGGACAGCTGAAACTCAACTGGGTCTCTAATTTTGCTCATTGGATTTCCAAGTTGGCTTGTTTAACGACCAACAGAAATGCATCTGCTAACTACTGATTTTCTCCCCTGCAGATTCACTTCTGTTTCATGCTCAGCTCGTTGCTAAAGCAGCCAAATATTGCCAGTTTTGTGGGCTTTGCCCTCCATGTCCTCCTTGGATTGTCGGGCTTTTTGACATTCTTTGAAAAACTACCGTTGTATTTGGAATGGATTTTAAATCTCTTCAGTCCTTTTGCCTTTACAGCCGGCATCTCAAAGGTATGTCAACTGCATCGTGAACTTACCAGTTCTGTGTATATAACTAATGTCAATCTCTGGGAAATCATCCTAGAAGTGGGATGTGTCTGGTGGGTACCAACATTTGCAAGAACCATGGGGTCTTGAAGTGCTGCCTTAGCAAGTATTATGTGCATCACTCTTCCAGTGCAGCAACTTCTGCACAACTTTGAATTGAGCTTACTGAAGCACTTCTAATACTTGTGGTCATGATAAAGTGTTGCCCTGCTTAGAAACAGCATCATGATCACGAGTGGACGTGGGTTTCTGGTGAGAATGGTCATGATGACACAGCAGTGGCTAGCATGTAGTATTTCTGGCTAAAGGAAGTGTTGCATCTGACTCATGCGTTTTTATTTTTCCCTAGATGTTAAAATTAGACAAATATGGACCAGCCTTTACTCCAGAATTGTACCCTTTCTTTAACCTATACCTCATACTGAGCCTTGACAGTGTCTTGTATTTGCTGTTGGCCATCTACTTTGATAAGGTTTTGCCCGGTGAGTAGAAATGTAAGGGAAAGAAGGCAATTTCCTTGAATTATTCTTCATTAATCCTCTCTCTTCACATGGGGAAAGTTGCCAAAAGGGCTATGAAATAGACTGAGAAAACAGTAATTTACATGGAGCAACAAATAAGGTGTCCTACTATCAAGCTGGTCGGGTTGTGGAAGGGTATCGTAACAACAATGAGTTTTGGCATGTTATGTTAGGGGATAAAGACTGGATTTGCTGTATTGCTCAAGAAGAAACTGGTTGGGAAGAATCCTGTTTTCCCAGGAGCTCAGTCCCTGTAGGTACCTCAAAACGGGCTCTAAAAGGAATGTTAAACCCTGCAGCGAGGCACTGATATCCTACTCCAAAAGCCCTAACCACTGGGCTTAAAAGGATGTTGTAGGACTTGACCTGATTTTCCTATACCTTCTGGGCCAAAGAGGTTCTCAGTGAGGTCTGTGCTGTGATCGTTCCTCACCTGCATTTACAGATAGAGATGAGTGGACAACTTTAACTGCAGATTACCAATCCTTTAATGCTGCTGAAAGTCTATATAATGCACCTACAGAGGAGAGGCGGCTGGGCATGGGGTTTATCGAAGTTGAGCTGACATGCAGCAGGTTTTGGTTGATATTTCACCTCCTCTGTTTCTGAACCAGGCAAGTATGGAGTACCATACCCACCCTTGTTCTTCCTGAGACCATCGTACTGGTGCAAGCCCAGGAGTGGGTACATGGGGGTACAAGCTGGCAGTGAGAGCAGCAATGATCCTGTCCTCAGCAATAACATTGAGCCAATGCCTCCAGGCTTTGATGGGAAGGAAGCAATCAGGTAAAGACTCCTGTAGGCATGACAGATACAATGCTACATGTTGTATTTGACTCTAGAGGGCATAGCCATATTGCACTGGTAAATATTAGACCAGGCCATTAACATATATAGATAAAGTTAGTGGTAAACATGTGAAAGGGAAGGTTTGTTCAGTGTTTTGTTCCACTCCAGAGCTGGATTTGAACATTTATTGGGCATGTACGTCCTTAGTGCCAGGGACCAACTCTCTTCCCTGCACTTTCCTCTTTGCAGAGCAGCACTAGTGAGTCTGTCGCCCTCACCATTACCTTTAAAACACTGCTGATGGAGTATGCTGCATAAGATACTGTCATTTACAAGCTTTTGGAGCTTGTCTGGCCCATTGCTGTTACTGTCCATTGCATATTACTAGAAAGCAAATATAAATCTGCTAAAATAATACCCAGGTCACTGCTTTTAATTATATAACCACATTCCCTAGGGATTTCTGCTTCATTCACTAAGTACTCATTGAGTTTGACTTTGAAACCTTTTAAGTATCTTCTAGAAAAGCACGTCACCTAATTCTGCTTTTAAGAGTACAAGAAAAGCATTCCATAAAGCAATCCCTTCAGCTGATAAGGAGCAGGACCAGTTTGAGGAGGAGGTTGAGAAATACTCTTCCAGTAGTTTTCCAAGGTCATTTCGAGGCAGAAGAAACATGCCAGAGTTGTGAGATCCAATAGTAATGGCTTGCTTACCTTTCCTTTAGACTAAACAACGTTAAAAAAACATACAAGAAGAAGGACAAGAGAACAGAAGCTCTAAGGGGTGAGAGAGGTTTTGTAACACTTTTCGTTTTATTTTTCATTAGATATGAACCCAAACTGTTTTGGAATTTACTGGATGTGCTTAATCCTGCCCCCAGCACTGTCAAAATCCATTATGCACTGGTTGTTTCTGCTGGGGTAAATGACTGGCAGATTTCCACCAGGTTGTTATTTTCCCGTTCACTCCAGGAAAGTAAATATTTATTACTTTTTTGCAACAGTTTGTGTGTCCTTAAAAGCTGTGGCTTCTGCAGCAATGAACCAGTTGAGAAATCCCCTCTCAAACCTCCCTTTCTAATTGTAAACTACTTTGGGCAAACAAAACTTGTCTCTTTGGTCCCCGGCTATAGCTGAGGCTGCTGTCACTGCCTGAGGCCCTGTTCTCCAAGCACTTGCACATCTGCCAGCTGCAGGTATGCGGGTAGTTGGTACAGTCATAGCATAGTGGTGGGATGTTTGTTAGATGCCTTTGTCTAGCAAGATCTCCAAGTGATGGTGAAAGTATCAATATGGTCTCACAGGTTTATATTGACGGACAAAACCCCAACAACCCCCAGAAATACAAAATAAGTGTTTTCTTTTTAAAGGAAATGAGGTAAAGTCTGGCTGCTTTGAAATAACTTGAGGTGTCAGGTGCTGGAAAGGGTTTGGGCTCTTCTCTTTCTGTGGACTTTCTCTTGAGCCATGCTAAAATAAAAGGCTATGAACCCCATGGAAAACAGACGTCAAAAGTCTTTGAATATTGAAGTTAATACACTTGTTCCCTCAATTCATGTCTGGAAGTTCCTTACTAAGTTTAGTCCTAACTTCTGAAGATGCAACCTTTGGTTTTGGATCTGTGCTTTTTGCCTCTCATCTTCAGAAGTGTCACTTCTCTGTCCTACCAGGCAGCAAGCTACAGGTACAAGTCCTCACAAACTTCACAAGTTTCTCACAGATTTCCATGCCAGTGTTATCCTATTTCTATTCTAGGTTTGTCCTTAAGTATATATGAAGGCCAGATCACTGCGTTACTTGGTCACAGTGGATCTGGAAAAACTACTCTCTTAAATGTGCTCAGTGGATTTTCCAAGCCTTCAGCAGGTAAGATGATGGACCCCAGTGCTGAAGAGGAAAAGATGGTTGCTTTTCCAGATATAAAGGAATAAAGATGCAAAGCCCTAAATTTTCCCCTGTCATCCAGTCTGGCTTGTTGTCAGTGCAGATTGCTACATCAACATGAGCTCCAGGGCTAATGCATCCCTTATGGATATGCTCATGTGTGGAAGCATGCACAGATGGTTATTTCTCAATCTGGATGGCCTGATGAGCTGCATACCTATAGGAAATATGTCCTAGTTCTTAAGGGAGAGATTTTGTGCTCTGAAATGTCTTTGAGTGGTATTAAAGCTTTGGGCAACACAAAGTTATTTTGCCTTTTAATTTTTAAGCACTTGAGAAACATCCACAATGCTGGAATTAGTGTCCAAGGTATGAATACAAAGCAGTCTGCTTTCCCCCTGTAACTGGGAAATACTGAACCGTAGAGATTTGTTTCATTTATTCCTGTCTGCAGGTTCTGCAACGATATACAACCACAAAGTTTCTGAAGTATGGGATATGGAAGGAATTCAGGCAATGGTTGGGATTTGCCCCCAGTTAAATTTGCATTTTGAAGCCTTAACAGTGAAGGAAAACTTGAGAACTTTTGCTCACATCAAGGGGATTCAGCAGAAGGAAGTAGAGCAAGAGGTTGGTATGTGCTTATCAGTCACTGACCTCTGTTTCATGGCATCTTGGACAGTTCAAGCTTTATAAAAGATTATAACCAGCCTTTATGACATGGGTTAGTGGTGGACTTGGCAGAGCTGGGGTAAAGGTTGGACTTGATGATCTTAAAGGTCTTTCCAACCCAGTTGATTCTATGATTCTATGAATTAAAATGCGACCAGTGCTTTGGAAATCTGGCTTTTGTCTCTGTATGTTGCCAAGGTGCAGAAGGTTCTCGTGATGCTGGACCTCACTGACCTTCAGGATGTTCACGCTGATGCTCTGAGTGGAGGACAGAAAAGAAAATTGTCTCTTGGAATTGCAATTTTAGGGAATCCCCAGGTAGGGAACGGTCATATTTATACATACACAACACAAACTGTTGTAGCACATAGCTTTGCATTTTGACTTGGCACATAGACATTTGTGCTTTTCCCCTGGCACTCAGAATCTGCTGACCTACTAATTCAATGGGCTGCTGGAAAGACTGAGGATTCTGGGTCAATGAGAACTGTATTTTAGATTGAAAGGGTAATACTGTAACAGGCGAAAGCAATAACTATGGCTGATATTTTATTCTTAGAATGAGATCATCAAAAACACGAAATGAAATGATGTAGAGATGTAAATTCCAGCCTGGACATGTGGAGGTCTGTTCTTGTTCACCTTTGCAGGTGCTGCTTCTAGACGAGCCGACGGCTGGCTTGGATCCCTGCTCCAGGCACCACGTGTGGAGCCTTCTGAAGGAGCACCAGGCTGGACGCGTGATGCTCTTCACAACCCAGTCCATGGAGGAAGCTGATGCTCATGCTGGTGAGCCCAGATCTTCACACTGTGCTTGAATACACTTTACAAACAAGGCTTCCCTGTTGCAGAGCCTACATACAGGTCCCACCATGGTGCAGTCTGTGCTCATGGGATGCATTTTGTCTGATAGCAACCACCCACCCCAGGGTGAGCAAAGGCTAAAACTGGACTGATGTGTTCCTCCAACATCTTGCTTGTGTTCTGCATCAGGATGAAGCACTTGCATATTATCTGGATATACCACTAGCAGCACCCACACACATTAGTGATATTGTTTGAATTAATATCTTTCCTGTCTCCTTATTGCTCCTGGGCTGCACGGCAATTTTCCACAAGCCTATAGGAATGTGTAATTAAAAGATTAACCTTGGTGCTTAGGAGAAAGGAATCAGTTTCAAAAGAAAGGCCCTTCAGCACTGGCCTTACTCCTCTCAACTTCATTATGAAAATGCCTGTTGAGTTCAGAAGGAGCACAGTGAGGTCAGTCTGCTGCACTCTTGTAAATCCCCCCTCAATCCTCTGTATCCATGCCTCCTTAGATCGGAAAGCTTTCCTCTCAAATGGGAGATTACAGTGTGTGGGCTCATCTCTGTACTTGAAGAGAAAATGGGGAATTGGCTATCACTTGAGGTAAATCCTTTTCTTTGTGGTCATCACTCTTCTTATGAAAAGCTTCTAGTTGATGTCTTTTCTTGTAGGGTTTGTGTCTCTATAGAGCCTCTATATAGAGTAATAGAAATCTTGGCAAATCAATTTAGAAGACTTTTGAGGCTGCCAAAAGTATCTTGCTCTGGATAAGAAGCTGCTTTGCTTTGAACGCAATCCTCAAAGCTCTGTGCATGCAACTAAAATGACTTTGCAACCTCCTTTGCAGCCAAAACGGGACCAGAGTACGATGAATTGCAATTCCCACCTCTTCTGTGGTGCCAGCGATAAACAGCTGCTTTAATGTGAAGCTGTTTTCCTTTGGATTTTAATTTCTGTGTTCCTTGTGTGCATGGCAAAACCAGGGGCACTGCAGATGTCAGTGAAAATCCCCACTGAAATGCTGCCCAGTTTTGGAGGTTTCCCTATGGCTTGAAGAGCTTCTGCTGCCTTTCTGTTTCAAATGGGTGATGTATGCTTAGGTTTTTTCTCATTTAATATTATAGCAGTTGCTTTCTGATACATACAGGATGCACATAAATGACCTTTGTGACCCTGAGCTTATATCATCCCTGGTCAGACAGTACATCCCCAATGCTGTGCTCAAAGGACAGAAAGAGGGAGAGCTGTGTTATATGCTACCTTTGGAAAACACTGATAGCTTCCCAGGTAAGAAAAGCCTTTCCTTGCGCCAGGGTTGTAAAAGGAAATCAAGTGATGGGAAAAGCAAAAAGCAAAGTTGCTGTGATGGGAATAACTATATTCGCTGGTCTATGCTGTATGGGATTTGGAAGCCCAGAGCTGCATAAACATCAGCCTTAAAAAAAGCCTTTAATGGACATGCTGATATAATAACGCAGATGAACAAATAAAACTCATCAACTAATCTACAAACTACAACCCACGGGGTCTCCTGTGGTTTCAGGATGGCCCACAGTAATCAAAGACTCTGAATTTTCTACCTACCTCAAAAGAGAGCAGTAATTTTGCCATGGCTTTTCAGCTATGGACATGAATGATGTGAATGTTAGAACATGCAATATCAAACCTGCCAGTCTAAGCTTCTGCTCAACACCAACCTTGGTCCCTGGGCTGAGTCTGTTTTTCCTATTGTGCAGATCTCTTCAGCCATCTCGAGAGCAGCCTTTCACAGGGTGTTGTTAACTATGAGGTTAGCAGGACAACCCTGGAAGAGGTTTTCCTGAAGCTGGAGGGTGAGGAAGCCATCGGTCAAGAAGGTAAAACAGTGACTCCGATTTGCAAGTGTGGGGTGGTTAAGGTTCCACATAGGCATACCTTTTAATTGATTATCTGATGAGGTTCTGTTAAATGTGAATTTCACTAGTTTTGGTAGCTCAAGAGCTGTATTCAACTTTCCTCTAGTGAATTATGTCTTCTTGGAGAAGTCTAGATGACTCAATCTTGACTTCCCACGTGCTTTTAAGCACAAGAATTGAAGGTTGATGTTGGAAGTGATTTGCCTTTAAAGGGTGCACTGCCCAGACTAGGAGATGGGAAGAAATAAACTAGACATAAGCATTTTGCAAGGCCAGTGAAAATATTGGATGTGTTTCCAATGAGCTCAGGTTCCACCAGCCTGAACTCAGTGATGTAAATTATGTTCTAGATAGATTATGGCCCCTTTTCTCTGCCCTTGTTTGTTTTCTGGCTAAAAACTAAAAGCATTCCTCTAACCAGAGCAGAAGGTTCTTGTTGACTGTGATTAAAATGTGTCCCTTGAACACTCTTTGTCGATAATGGTATTCCTTGTGCTGAACACACAGAAGACAGAGACCTGGAGGAGAGGGACCAAAGCCTCCTGGTGTTTTCTGAACAGAGAAGCACAGCAGTGACCGGGATGGAGCTCTGGAGGCAGCAAGTGTGTGCTGTGATGAGAGTTCGCTTCTTAAAGCTAAAGCATGAAGGAAAGTTTCTCAGGTCCATGTAAGTACAGGAGCTGTCACCTTCTCTCTTGGTGCTTTTCAAAGGATTTTATCATACCCTTGAGTGACTGAGGGAACACTTGAATACCGGTGGAGATATTTAGAAGCAGAAATTAGGTGGAAAACATAGATAAGCTGCAGTAATAAGGACAGTCGGAACTTACTGGTAGAGCTCTGAATTGCTTAAGGTTTAAATTCCCCCTTGTCTTTCCCAGTATAAATCACACAGAAGCGGAGTTCCCCTGCACCCACTTATGGCTTGTTTTTCCATTTAGATTGCTGTTCTTTGGAATATTCATCCTTCCAATGATGATGATTTTTGTTGGATTTCAACTGTGGGACACCTCCAGTAGCTGGGAAATCACTGCCACCTTGTATTTCCTTCCCACTGAAGAGAAAATGCAAAATAAGTCATCAAACCTTCTCATCGTCAATGACACAGGTGAAGAAGAACATGTGATGTTGATTCACTTTCTGCTCCACTCTGAGTCCTCTTAGAGTTGATTGACCAGCCTTGCTTTGCTATTTCTGTACGTCCCTTTTTATACTTGTGATGTTGGGAGGTGTTTTCTCTTGGCCAGAAGCAAATCCAGTTTTAGTGATGCTAACTGAGTAGCTGATATTTAAAAGAGGCATTTATTTCCTTATAAAAAAGCAAGAAACAGCCTAACAGTGGAAACATGCATTATGTTTAACCAGTTTATCATAGGAAAAGAATAAGGGAAATACAAGTTTGCTTATATTCTGAATGTTTGGGGGGTTTTAACATACCTCTGCTCTGCAAGTGGGCACTTGCCTATATGAAACTGTTTATACTTAAAGAAATAAACCTCTAACTACTCTGATTTCTGTTCCTGGCTTGATTTCAGGGTCAGAAATTGGGGATTTCCTTGCTGCTTTGAAGAGTCAAAACATAACCCCAGAAATAACTCTGGAGAAAAACATCACAAGCATTCCACAGTATAACGGAGCTATAAAAATATCCCTGGAAGGCAAGGTGAGGGATGTTTTTGCTTCTTTCATCCTGTGTGTCAACAGCATTTTCTGCAATGTGTTTAAATGAGGCACAGCAAAATACACACATCAGCAAAAGGGGCAATATTTGTTTGACATATTAAATAATATTGGTAGTTTTGTTTGGGGGAAACCAGGATTAGATTTGGTTCTTTCTACTGCATGCTTCTTGACAGTGATCTTTAGAGGAAAGCATTAATGCAAGTTTCGTGCTCTTCTCCAGAAGCTGTTGTCTTTATCAATCATCTTGGCCAGAAGTCTTTATCATTTTCCTCGTGCTTCCTCTTAGCACATTTCCAGGTCTCCGTGGTCCCACCAATAACATGAATTCCTTTGTCGTTGCTTTCCTCTCAACCCCTCACTGCTGTCAGCTCCTCCTCACACCTCCCGTGGGTGTAAAGGTAATGCCTTTTGCTCTCACATCTTCAGAACTACCAATTCACGGTCATGTGCAGCGCAGAACCCATCAACTGCTTCCCCGTGCTGGTGAATATCCTCAGCAACACCTTCCTAAGGCTCTTCAATTCCACCGCGCGCATCCGCGTCTGGAGCGACCCCTTTTACAGTGTGAGTGTCCTGCCTTTCTGACTGAAAATGAATTGAAACAGCCATGCTGAAGTGATAACCAACGGCTTGGAAACCTGGTTGGATGAGCAGCCTTCAAGGGTTGGGGTTAATGGTCTGACTGCTGGCCAGCTCCTGGGGACATTGCTCAGCAGTCAAAACCGGTGGTATTTAATGGTGATTTCTTCTGCAGTGTTTAAGTGCTCTACAGGTTTTCAGTGCCGTGAGATGTTTAAGTTTGTGTTACGTGGCATTATGGTAGGAATTCATATAAGTATTTCTTAGTATAGGAATATATGTAAGTATTATATATAGGAATAAATATAAGTATTTCACAAGTAATTCTTGCAAACCCCACCTTTCTTCAGCAACCGTTCGGAAAGAAACACATCAAAAAGATGATGTCTATCCACAACAGTTGACACTAATTCCAATACTTTTTGCAGCTTCTAAGATGCTAAATTTTGGGGTTTTTTTTAATGCCTTGTTTTATTTTCTTAAATGCAAATGACTTACCATTAGGGTTATCACTCACTTGCATGTTTAACCATCCGAAGAGCATTGAGCTAGCCACATTTTCCCTGGGAAGCTGTTTATTGATGTGACTCCGTATTTCTCTTCCACAGACACAAAGCCTAGAAGTAAAGAGTGATATCTTTTTCATCTGCCTCAGCTACATGCTGATTTTGGCTGCTGGTTTGCCTCCTCAGTTTGCAATGAGCAGCATTGAGGATCACAAGGTAAAACGCACATGCTTGAAGTGGTTTTACACAAGGAATAAATGTAAATGAAACATCTCTGGAGAGCAGTTCAGATACCAGTGGGCATTTCTAGATATTATATCTATACTATATCAGATTATTTATCTATTATATATCATATTGTATCTAGATATATCTATAGCAATAGAATAGTATAATAAACTAGGTATAGTTCATCTAGCTATAATATATAGAAGAAATATAGCCACCTGAGCACAATGTTGTTCCAAAGTGTGTTACCCTCCATCTCAGGGAGTCAGTGGAGGCTCTGAACAGTTCTGGTGGGGTTAAAGCTTTTGAGGGTCAGGAGGATTTGCTTGGGTTTTTTAAAGAATGAAGTGGTTTGAAACAACAGTAGAACTAAGAGAGATTTAGGAGTGCTTGGAAAGGAGAAGAAGGGTGAGCCAAGGGAGGGAGGACTGAGGGTAATGGATAAGGAGGAGCAGTAATGATGCTTTGGGCTATTCTAAATCATCCCCCTTTTCCTATTCTCTTTCACAGCTCCAGGCTTGTGCCCAGCTGCGGCTCGCAGGGCTCTTCCCCTCAGCATACTGGTGCGGGCAGGCGCTGGTGGACATCCCACTCTTCTGGGCCCTGGAGTGCCTCATGTTTGGGATCCTGCTGCTCTTCAACCGCATCTGCCCCTTGCAGACCGACACCATGCTGCCCCTGGTGAGCTATTTGCCTGCAGACACAACCCCCCCGCCCTCCTTTCACAGTGAGTTTGTCCTTTAAATACTTCCATTTAAACAGACTGCTCTAGGCAGGTTTTCATATCCCCATATACATCTCCTTGTCGCTGACACCATTCTCTCTCTCTAGATCTTTTGCACCATTGGTTATGGAGTATCTCTTGTCCTCCTCATCTATTTAATTGCCTTTAAATTCCGCACAGGACGAAGCAATCGTTATATTTGGTCTTTCATTTTCATTCTGGTAAGTGAGGTGAATCTGAAGCATTTGATTTACACATCTCACCACTGAGATTTCATTTCAAATATACCAATATTCAGTAGAATAACACAAATCAGATTGATTTTTAGTGACAGCCTATTTTTAACCAAGAAGACGTTAATACTGGAAATATTTGTCTGCTTTATTCGAGGTGAATTCTACTCTCTATATGCTCAGAGACATAGATGAAGCACTTCACTTCACCTTCTCTATTTTGATTCCTGTGTTTCCGCCGCTGGGCTGGTTGATCTTCAGTACACCAGTAAGTAAACGTGTCCTACTAAATTCAGTAATGGTCCTAACGGTGCAAACTGGAGATGCAAGAGCCACATTGCAATTCCCTGTCTCAGAGTGCCGACTGTCAAAAGACAACAGGATAATAAAAGGTCCAAGCTGGGGATTGAGAGAAGGGGCCAGGATTGGACTTGTTTGATTGGGATATTTGGGGGGATTTTAGTTACGAAGAGCTGTTATAATGACTGTATTTTGGCAGCCAGGGTAGGGTGGGAGGGGAAGGTGGTGGAGGAGGGTACCTGGATGAAGTAAGCTGTCAGAAGGAGGTGAAAGACTGGGAAGGGAGAAGCAATGATGGAAAAGATCAATCCAACCTGGCTGATTTGAGGTGTCTCTGAATTAGCTCTAGCCAAGGAAGCCACAGCTCTTCGAGGCAGCATGAACTCGAAAGAATAAGTACAGATCAAAGCTCCTTTATCCCATCCTGAGGAAAAGCTGAGCATCCTACATGTCACACTTGCCCTGGCCCTGCACTGAGGCACCCTGTGCGAGGGAATTTTTCTAACTGACTGACCTTCTTTTCTTGTAGCTTTTCTCATTGTTTCACAATATCGGTCTTCTTGAGGCGTGGAATCACATCTTCGTAGCTGTCTTTGCAGTAAGGAGCAATTCGATGATGGGGTTTTGGATGACAGTTCCAATGTGATGGACTTGTTCTGGGCTTGTATAAGTCTCCCCATAAATAAAGCATGGGTTATGTGGTCAAAGTTTCATACTAAATGTTGGATGGAAGGAACTTCCAAGCAATCGTGGGCTTGTGTCACACATGACCCCTGGATGCTGTATCACGGGTGAAAGTGGGGGGATTATGCAGAGCTCGTGTATAAGGCAGGGATATTATTAATCAACTGCTCAGTCTAATGCTGCTTCTACAAAAGAAAGAAGTGTTCTCTGATCCTGTACGATGTCTGTTGAGGTGCAGGTTATGTGGGATAAAACTGTACTATGAAGTCAAGGCCTTTGCAAATGACCTGCATATGAGATGGAAATGTATGTGAAACATCAATTTAACTTCTTCCCCTTCTGGACCTTTTCAATAGCTGAAGTAAATGAGATGGGTTCCCGCATCCCCTTATAGTTAGAACTAATTGAGTGTGATGTTACCTTCTCTCCATACAAACCTAATTCATTTTTTCCTTTTTAGCCTTTCTTCCATTGTGTGATTTTTGCTTTTCTCCTGCGCTGTTTGGAGATGAGATCTGGAGAACCAGTTACGAGATTTGATCCCATCTTCAGGTGTGTCCTGGGCACCAGGGTGCCTTGTGAGCCTGGTTATCCCAGTCTGTGGGATGGGCTCAGCGCCGCACAACCAGGCAGAATCCTCCTGGCTCAATCCCTGACAGCAGGAGGAGGGAACTTGTGAACTTAAAGACCTGTAGCAAAGTGTGGTTAAAGTCACATTTTTAGTTTGAATCAGTTTATCTGGAAGGGAGGAAATTGAGAATGAAGGAGGGTGGAGTTCTGTTCTTTTGGGTTATTATTGTCTAACTTTACTTACTGGAGTTTCCCTGAATGTCAGTGGTGACAAATTCCCACCCATCGTGTTGCAATAGAAGGTCAGTTGACCTACAATGTCCTAGACAGAATAACAAATGTGGTTTAAGCTTTTTTACATTAAGCTTCATAGCTGAGGTTTCAGGATGTTTCACTTCAGCTGGCCAAGCTGAGGGTTACAAACTGAAATCCAACGTTTTAACTCCTTTTCAAATGTGTTAGTGTTGCTCACTGCAGGATGGAGACTTCCCCATGAGCTTCATTAGGTTGGGGTCTGCAATCTGCTCTCTGCTTATCTGTCACCAACAGATAAGAGGCAACTGAGACAAATGTTATTATTCAGTTGGGAGTGAGATGCCCAAATACCTTTGAAAATCTGCCATATGTGTTTAAATTCTCCTTGAGCAGATCACTGGCATGTGTTGAGCAAAGGACTATAGAATCCTATCATATAATTCCAGACTGGTTTGTGTTGGAAGGGACCTTAAAGTTCATCCAGTTCCAACCCCCTGCCATGGCCAGGGACATCTTCCACTAGAGCAGGTTGCTCCAAGCCCTGTCCAACCTGGTCTAGTAGAAGGTGTCAACCTGGTCAATACTTACAGTACCAGTCAATGCTTGCTGATAGAAGAAAAGCTAAATATGGCCCTTGTTTTCTGATGCATGCCAGCAGGATTATTTTTTTCCCCAGTTAATGAATATTTGAGTAGATACCGTCTGTGCAACACCTCCTGAACTCAAATTTTACAGGGTGCTGCATTGGCACCACACTGGGAACAAACTTGAAAAACCAATCCTTTTTGGAAGTGATTCCCATTGACACCATCTCTCCTCCTGCACTCGCAGGATCCAGAAGAGGAGACCGGTTGCCTGCCAGAACAGGGAGCACCCTGTGGAGGAGCCCCCAGAAGTCCATGCAGAGAGGGAGAGGGTGAGGAATGCGATGGCCTCACTGCAGCAGGAGGAGGTGAAACCAGCCTTCTGACTTGTTTTCCTTTTCATTCTCCATCTTCAGGCCTGTGTCTGCTTTCTTAGCTCATGCACTTGTTATTTACCGATCTGATGTCCAAGTGCACATCTCACCATCCAGCCCACGGTTATCCTGGCACCAGGAGGAGTTTCACTGGCACTGTATTTTAATTCTGCTTTTCTTCATTCTGTTGCTCTGTTTCCTGGATTTTTAGTTTAAGAATGTTGTCTTTACAGGGTCATACTTAATGGTAAGAACAGATGAGCTGTCTTGTGGGATAGGAGCAGAGGTTTTATTTCCCACTTCATCTCTTCACAGGAGTCAATGATTGTGGTCAACAGTTTGCGCAAGGAATATGAAGACAAGAAAGCCAGTTCCATCTTTAAGAAAAAGAAGAAAGTTGCTGTCAAAAACCTCTCTTTTACTGTTAAAAAAGGTTCAAGTATTTTGCTGAACTTCTTATAAATAATTAATGTGAAGGTCACATTAGGAGACCATATTTTTGTTAGAATATTCCTCTGTGTGACCAGACCAAACACACCTGAGCTCCTGCATTTTAATTTATGGGGATTCATAAGCAGTTTTTCCTCCTACTATACTTTTAGATATTGCCTGGCACACAAGGAAGACAGTTTTATTAACAATATTTATTATTAACAGTTCTTGCATCATTTTTCCAGGAGAAGTATTAGGTCTGTTAGGACCCAACGGAGCTGGAAAAAGCACCACTATAAACATGATTTCTGGAGGCCTAACAGTGACTGCTGGGGAGGTAGGTGACTCCTGTGGGGCAGCAGGGGGATGACCTTGATGCCTTTATGAATTAAGGATGTGATAAGGCAAGCTGGCAACACAGCCCTAAAGTCAGGGAATTTATGTACATGCAACCCTATTTACAGAAGTAAGAAGAAAAGAATGATGTGCTTTGATTTAGTCCAAGCACATTGTAATTGACATCAAAATCAGTGTTACAGAGTTAAGGATTTGAGCTACACAAAGTCTTTGGTGTGTGTTTGAAACATATCAAGAAATTTCACACGCCCTGTAAGAAATGTTGACATCTAAAAAATGTATTAATAACACTCTTCATAAACAGCCTTGCAAACCCAGGAAATTGAAAACGAATGGGAACAGGGCTGGGCCAGCAAAAATCCATCACTTAATTATGTGCAGGATGATTAATGGCATGTGCTGGGGGAGGGAAAATACCATTGCTGTTACAGATTTGGGACTGTAGGTTTGAAATAGAGAAGAATTACTAAGAAAAAAATGGTCTCATGTTGGCACTATTACCCAGAGTTTTATGGTGATAAATACTGTTTGGTTTTGTGAAAGTGCTGCTCTGGTTTCAGGTAAGCAGAAGACATGGTAGGTGGAGATGATCACTCCATTGATGCTGGCCTTCCTTTCCTATGAACAAACTTTACCATTTACTTCTTTTTCCTACTGACAGAGGGGAGATTTAGATTAAATATTAGGAAGAAATTCTTCCCTGTGAGGGTGCTGAGGTGCTGGCACAGGGTGCCCAGAGAAGCTGTGGCTGCCCCATCCCTGGCAGTGTTCAAGGTCAGGTAGGATGGAGCTTGGAGCAACCTGCTGTAGTGGAAAGTGTGCCTGCCCATGGCAGGAGGTTGGAACCAGATGAGCTTTAAGATCCCTTCAACACAAACCATTCCATGATTCTATGTGCTCATGAGGTTCCTCACAAGACAGGAGAAAACACAACCACATTTCCAAGTGGTTCATTGATTCGCCCTAGAATAACATGCTACAGCTATGGAGGTGTGTGTGTTTGCAGGTGCTGTTCAAGGTCCATGATGGAGCTGTCTCCACCCCGGGGCAGAGCATCCCGGGATGCCTGGGCTGCTGCCCGCAGCAGGACCCACTCTGGCCAGACCTCACTGTGCACCAGCACCTGCAGGTCTACAGTGCTGTGAGAGGGATGAGGAAAGAAGATGCAGCAGTTATCATCAGCCGGTACAAAACCAAATGATGTCAGCTTTCGGTTCTTCCTCTCTCCAGAGGTATAGGACAGGGAAAGGTTTCCTGCTAGCAAACCTGGCTGCTCTGATTAAGAGGCAGCACCTTCAATGCCTCTTTGAGAAATGGGATCTCATTCTCAGGAGATCTGCGGGCTCTTACTGTTCAATGAAGATTTTAGCCCTGCTTTATCTAGAAAACCCTAAACTTGCTCCAGTTCATGGTCAGTTACATGAGTAACTCACTTCTCTCATTAGCAGCACTTGAGTTTCTGCACATATTCCTCAATTTATCATCCAAGCTAGCAGTAAAATCACCAAGTAACCCTAGGTGATGTGTATCATCTGAAACAAGTATGTTAGTGTCTGCTTCCTCCATACCCCTGCCTTAGCAAACAGAGATGGTCATTTCAGTGTTTTTCCTTTCCATTCCCCACAGCATAGAAAAGGCTTTGGATCTCCAGAAGCATTTAAGAACCCCAGCTAGGAGGTTATCTGCTGGAGAAGCCAGAAAGGTTTGTATTAGATGTGTGTTGGCTACTTTTAGCTTTTCTGTACCTGCTTTCTTCCTTAAACGTTATGTACAGAAAACCTTGAGCAGAGCGGGTTCCTGGCATGATCTCTTTTCATCGGTAGATTTCAAATCCAGCCTGGCAGGATCCCTCCCTCTCCTTTTTCTCCCTTCTCCCACGTTGTGTTTTTAATAAATGCTAACCATAAATTGGATTTATAAGGTAATCACCTCTTTGTGCCGACCATGTGCCTCTGCCAGTAAATGAGATGGAAAACCCCTTTCAGATCTTTGGCAGGCTTGGAAGTTTTGGGGGAAGTTGATTTTGGGAGTTTAAAATGTTAACTAAGAACACCTTGAGGCGGGTTTTTTCTGAATCCTTGTTACTCCTGCATTTTGGAATCATGAGCTTCAGCTTCTAAGAGATTTACGTGGATTAAGGTGTAGCAGGAGAATTCACCTGCTCTGCAGGTAAAGTAAAAGCAGACCTCACCTGACCTCCATGTCTTTCCCATTTCAGCTGTGTTTTGCGTTGAGCATCCTGGGAGATCCAATGGTGATGCTTTGGGATGAGCCATCAGTGGGCATGGACCTGAAAGGGCAGCGCCGTATGTGGTGAGCAACCATGTTGAGAAGCGTGTGTCAGACTTAACAGAATGGGGTCATACTCTCCCTATTGTAATAACCATTGGGCAGGCAAAGAGGTTCTGCCTTGGTGGCAGAGCACCATTTGTACTTTCCCTTTCTCCTAATGCACGGGGATGGGGTACCCTTAAACTCCTTATTCAGCAGGCAGTAAGCCCTTGCTAACCATCCACATGTCATCTTTACACAAGATAACTGATGGTTTTTAAGTAGTCATCCACTCATTTATAACTTTATCATTTCAACTGGAGTTTGGGAGACATAAACAGGAGATTTTCTGTGGCTATTCCTGGGAAGTAACTGTGACCTCTCTGTTCCCAGGAAAGTGATTCAGACTGCCATGAAAAGCAAGGATCGTGCAGCCATCCTCAGCACACAGTACCTGGAGGAGGCAGAAGCGATGTGTGACCGAGTGGCCATCCTGGTGTCGGGTCAGCTACGGTGGGCACTGGGGTATACGGGGTCTAGTGGAAGGTGTCCCTGCCCGCAGCAGGGGGTTGGACTTGGATAAGCTTTAAGGTCCCTTCCAACCCAAACCACTCTGATCTCTGATCTATGATTCTTCTTAATCTAATAGAATATCTTGGTTTGGATTGTCCCAAGCGTGTAACAAACAGTTTGGTGAGGAGGTGGTTTAGCAGCACAGTGTAAACAGCCGATGAATAAGAAGACAGACATCTGCTCATATCCAGTGACTGCTTTATTTGATCATGATGGTTTGAGCAATGTTTTCCCTCCTCTGCAGGTACATCGGTTCCCTTGAGGATCTGAAAAGTAAATCTGGCACAAGTTACCACCTAGAAATCAAAATGACGGACCCGGGGCAAAGCGATGCTCTCCACACTGAAGTTCTGCACCTCTTCCCCTACGCATCTCGGCAAGGAAGGTCACTGCCCATGGGCTGCACAACCAGCCCGGACTTGTGCTGGGACTCTCTGTTGTTTTCTATTCAATAATTCACTTGGGAGTACCTACAAGCACCCCTAATCCTTGGTGCTGACTCACACAGTGATGAATTCATTGTTTTTATTACTTTTTCAGGACAACTTCTTCACTCATCTACAAGATACCATTGGAAAACGCACTACCTCTGTCCCAGTCTTTCTCCAAGCTAGAAGCAGGTAAAAGGAAACAATCCATTAGCCAAGAAGATTGCTTTCAAATTGTTCATATGGATTTGGTTTTTACGGATGCCTTCTCCATCCTTCTGCAGCTAAACAGAATTTCAGGCTTGAGGACTACAGCTTGTCACTGCACTCTTTGCAACAGGTATGCTAATGTAGAAGTTAGAGGTTAGGAGCTGACCGTGTAAAAGGAAGAAATAGCCTGTGACCAGTGTAAATACTGTCGGGGTAAATACTGTCCATAACGGGGTTGTTTCTGATGTGGCACACTGCAGGTGTTTGTAGACCTCACCAGGGACCTGGAGGAGCACGATCCAGACGCAGCATCTGATGGGGCTGTAGAGCAGAGACCGCTTCACCCCTGATTCCTTGGAGCCACAAAGGAAAGTAGTCAGTGTTTTTGATCAGTGTTACTGATGTGTGTGATCACCTGCAGCGCTGGGACTTGGTTACCTGTGTTACGACACATGTTGACCTGCAGGTTTTCTGTCTCACAAACTAAACAAATCTTATTTTAATAAATAAAGCCTTTATCCTTTGACAAATTGATGCCTGCCCTTTGTCTGTTCAGACTGACTCATGAAGGATTGCTGTGCTGAGGTGAATTGCTGGTCCCAAGGCAGTGAGGTGGGCGCTGTGGCTGTGCTGGAGGCTTGGTTGTTGGACAGAATCATGCACAAACTCAGACGAGACTCTGAAACCCGTACTCATCCTTGGCAGGAGGACAGCAGGGCTTCGGCTTGAGAAGCATCCTGCTGGCTGGTGTAATGTGGCTAACAAAGATGGTGTTTTCTGGTAGAGGGGTCTGGGGCTGTGTTTTGATCCCAAAAGCTGCTGTTGCTGCGTGCCAGCTCAGGTCACCCTGGTCCATCTCTAGTCCTCAACACTGGGCACACAGAGAGAGGAAAGGACTCACCAGTCCCTGGAAAAGCGTGTTGAAAACTGGCAGGTCTTCGATCACCAGCTTTAAAAAGTGATTATTATCTGGAGTCATAAATAAGATGTGCTGGAGCAGGACAGTTGCCTGAGCAGGTCTTCTGTGTGTTTGGTTTGCTCTGGAAGAAAGGGTGGGCTCCTCGCTAGCCCCCACAGTCTGTGTGTGCTTGGAAGAGATGGGATGCTAATAGGGAGACTGGGCAAACACCAGCATCCTGACCCTGTCTGAGCAGTTCAGCATCTCTTCTTAGACATCTGCCAGCCAGGTCTAGTTTTAAATAAGAAATTAAAACAACTAAATAGCATAGAAACTCCCTACGTTTGGGCAACCAGGTATTTCCCCTGGTGTCCTGTTGTCCTGTTTCTCAATACACCCAGTCTTGGGGAAAGGCTGGGCTGTGGACTCAGTAGAAGACAGTGGCAGGTGGTGGGGGGGGGGCGGGCATCACACCACGTAGAAGACAGTGGCAGCTGTAGGGGAGTGGCAGCTTCATCCCATGGGACCGACCAGCAGCAAGATCCTTACCTACACCATGAGCTTGAAGCACCTCTGGTTCATGTGGATGATGCCAGTGATGCAGGTATGGATGATGCAGGTATGGGCAATGCAGGCAAGGAGGATGCAGATGGCTTATGCAGGCACTGATGAGTGTCTGGGCGATGCAGGCAGGGATGCAGGCAGGCATGCAGGCAGGTACCAGCAAGTAGCTGCCATAGCTCAGTTTTGGGCCCCTCCTGCCAGGAGACAGTGCAACTTTGCAAACACAACTTTTGCAATTTAGGAATGAGCGAGAGTCACCTTTTGCTCTTCCACCTGCGGCGGTGTGCTGCAATACCGCTGTTGACTTCAGCCTCTCTTGCTGCACTGAGAAACACAACGGAGTTTGACAGAGAAAGGGGTTTTGTGTGGTTTGTTGTTGGGCTCATTTTACTTTTCTTGGCCAAGACTCAAGAATTTGCTGAGTAACTTTTCAGAGAATCCACTCCAGCAACTCAACAGCAATACGCTCTGTTTGCTTTTTATAACATAAATAAATCTGAACATCTGCCAAGGAGGAAGGGGGGGAGGAAGCCAGGGAAAAGAGAAGTGATGGTGTGAGGAATGCCTTTTGGCAGAAGTGCTGGAGTGAAGAAATGAGTGCGTGGACAAAGGAGCACTGAAAGCCACTGGGACAGCCGGGCCAGTCCATCCAAGGGAGGCTCAGCATCTCTGCTTCTACAGGCACGCTGCAAAGGACAAGCTCTGGATTCCTTTCAAACCTTCCCATCAAGGTAAAGTCTAAACATTCTTCTTAAAGCAAGTAAAAGTTGTTATTTAAAAGATATGAAAACATCCAGTGATTAATAACACTGTTAATATCGGCTGAGAATATGAATGCATATGTGGGACACTGGGCATCTTTCTGGCAGGCTGAATTAAGCTTGCAATTAAGCTTAGTGACTACTTTAAGGTGATACTTTGGTATGAAATAACACAAATGGAGCTCAGTTTATGGCAGAGGTGTATTTTCAGAGTTTCTCAGTGTTAAGAGGATGCAGTAGGATCAGTTTAGCTCCATATTTTAACTAATCCAGCACGTGAGGAGCAGATTTCTTTCCTGTCATGCAGTGTAAGATAAGGATTGAATTTAAAGAGTCTTCTGTCACCGAGCCCATGTCCCTGCTCATCCTCCTGGCACGCTGTCCTAGTGCATGTGTTTGCAGTGTGCACCAAGGGAAGACCATTTGTTGCAGCTGCTCTTCTAGCATGCCAGTGCCTGCTGCCTCATTACAGGGAACATGCCCCTCCTGTGGGCTGAATATAAATAACTGGAAGAAGATAAACTCTGTCTTTCCTGTCAGCGCTGTGAAGCATCATCCCCCAGAGGAAACAGCACAACATAAATCCTCCTTCCATATGACAGGAAGGTTTGGAAGGATTAGATCTATAAATGTTCTGCTATTTCTACCTGAGACTTCATGTATAGAAGGTCAATGTCTTGTTTGAAAGCATATTTTAGCTACATATGTGACAGCAGAGCAGTGAATGTAATTCTGCATAGGGGTTACTTAGTCCTTTTCCTCATTAAAGGTGCTTAAGTCCTTTTCCTCATTAAAGTTACTCATAATTGCATATGGTTAATATGGATGGATCTCATTTGCAAAACTTACATTGACAGCCAGCTCTGTGCCTACTTCTTTAAGTTACCATCCCCAGCACTAATCTAAGCAACAAATCTCTGTTTTGCTTTGGCCACGTCTTTTCAAGGATGCTGCCAGGTCTGTTGGAGTAACACACCAAAGCATGCTCGTGACTGTCTGTTTCTCTCTTGTTTTCTATTAATATCCCCAGCAACAACAGCTCTCCCTACACACTTCCAAGAATTTGTTCTCTCGTAGCTTCGAGTTGCTTTCAATCAACGCTGTTTTCCATGTGAGCTCAGCTCACACCACAGCCAGGAGTTGCTCAACGCTTCTTGGTGTAAAGCCTTCAGCACATTAAGATGACATGCAGAAAGGTTTTGGTGATTTTTATTGACCAGGTTGTCATTTCTTGGCTATTAACACCACCTAAACCCGTTTTAGGCCATGTGAAATGATTCTTCCTTTCTGTATTTCATCAATAACTCCTCCAGCATTACCATACTACAGCACAGAAGTGTGAAATTCTGGTTGTAACCAGTGTCTTACCACTAAGTTACAAGGGCTGGGAGCATGTTGAGGATGATGAGATCCCTCCACACGAGGTCTGAGCTGCTCCTTGCAGCGAGAAGGGAAGGAAACCATCACCGTGCAGAAGTGCACAAAAAAGCAGTCACTGCTCTTCTGGTTTTTCTTGTATTTGAAAGTAATTTGGGGCAAAAAAATAGTGTTTGTAGGTACAAAGATGAAGACTCTTCAGAGAAATATGAGTGTGTTCCAGCAAACAAAAGTGCTCTTGTGGAAAAACGTACTAATCAAGTGGAGGATGAAGATGCAGAGCTTTCAGGTAAGCTGAAATAAGACAAAAGTGAGCAGTTAACCACTGTGAGTGGCCAATCCCTGCCTGCCCTAAGTTAAAGTACTTTTGGAAAGCCTGGCTGGTAGTGAACAACTTGAGACTTCACTTTCTTAACTGATAATATTTCTGATTTTATGTGATATATGAGAGCACAGATGGGTTCTTTGAGCAGAGTAATTTACTGAGGTGACAGGCACAATGCAGTGTTAACATCTAAGATACTTTTGTGACTTAGTCCTTCTTGTTTATACCTTAATCCAACATAGAATGTGCTTTTGTACTGTCATATATTAAATCCTCTGCTCTCCCCCTCTCCTAGGAGTGGATGCTGTCTCTGCTCTTTCTGCCCCTGATTTTCATAGTGTGCACGTTCATGATGAACATCCGCTACCCTGAAGTGCCTTACAGCTACCTCGGGCAGTTGGATGATCCTGCCTATGATGCCAGTGGGGTCACCATCGCTTATACACCCATCACTGAGACCACAAGGCAGATCATGAATAAAGTGGCCTTGAATTCTGTAATGATAGGTATGGTTGGCTTGCTAAATATGTAACTTTGTCATTATTTAACCTATTGTACAGGTATTGTGTTTTACTGGTTCTCCAGTATCTTTGGTCAGGGGAGAAAATTCATCCCAGATTTTCCATTCTCACAAATATTTCTTCTCTAGTATTTAAATTAGTAGTGAGTGCTTCAGAGCTGCAGAGCTGAACCTTTCCCAATATTCACTATATAGACTAATACTATTAAAACACTTTGGTTTGTTCTTCTGAGGTATGTTTTTCAACAGATAAAGTATAAAGCATTTAAAGGTGCCACCCCATCCAGTGAGGAGAACTGGGAAGGAGGAGTTGCAATGCTAAAAAAAGCAGAATGTACCCCCAGTGCCTTTGCACACATTTCCAGACCTACAGAAACTCATTGCAATACTTTTCTTACACACCACAGGTATAATATTAGAGGCACTGGACAGTGAGACAGCCCTGGAAGAAGCCTGGATTTCAAATAATGAAATTATAGGGGTTGTATTTAAGGACAACTTCTCCTATCACCTCAGGTTTCCTACTGAGAGTGTGGCTATTCCAAACGACAACTTTGGATACATAGGTAATACAAAATGAAAATTTGTGGGTGGGTGATTGCCTGACATGGATAGAATCCCTCTGTTGGAGTAATCCATATCTGTTCAGTGATTTAATAAGATGTTATTTTTTCTGGTCAGGGGGACACTGTCTATTTGAAGAGTCCCCATAATGCACATGCATCTTATCATCAGCTTTTGTAGTGAAAACCATTTACTTTCCACTGCTCTTACCTGTGATGCCCTTAACCTCTCACCTTGCAGATAACTGCTTTAACTTCTCATCACGGTACTGTCACAGCCCAAGGTATTGGTACAAAGGCTTCCTGTCGCTGCAGGCCAGCATCGATGCTGCTATTATTGAG